CAAGGTAAGAATTCTATCTTTCTGTTGTTCTTACAGTCCATGTGGCATGTGTAACAATGTCTGTCTGCAGACTTCTGCTGCATGCATGAAAAAACCATTACTTACACAGATTTTTTTCTAAGGCGAACAGTCCCGCATCTTCTCTTGGTCTCCCATTGCCTCCCCCTCCCCAAGTGTTTTCTAATGTCAAAACAAACACAATTATACCAGAACAAAAATTACTTACAAATATTTTATGAAGCAAAACAGTTATCTGACTTTTGTAAAGTGAAAGCATTCAACTTTTGTAAAAGTGAAATTGTAAGCTTTGCACAGACAAAATATATGTGTAAATTTATGTACAGTAGGTATATTCACACAAATATACACAAATCAGACCAAATAAAATGGAGTGAATGGACAGTAAATAAAAGTATATTATATCACAGAAAATACAATGACTAAAAGCACTCATAATAAAATAAAATAACTTTGGCTTAAAAATGCACAAAACTGCATGTATATTCTGAATTGAAATACTGAGTTCCCACCTGTACTGTATTAACATCCAGATGCCAACACTCTCAAAATTTTCTTTATCACTACAGTATTCACTATATCCTTGTCACTACAGTATATATCCTTGTCACTAAAGTATTCACTATATCCTTGTCACTACAGTATTCACTATATCCTTGTCATTACAATATTCTCTATATCCTTGTCACTACAGTATTCACTATATCCTTGTCGCTACAGTATTCACTATATCCTTGTCACTAAAGTATTCTCTATATCCTTGTCACTACAGTATTCACTATATCCTTGTCATTACAATATTCTCTATATCCTTGTCACTACAATATTCTCTATATCCTTGTCATTACAATATTCTCTATATCCTTGTCATTACAATATTCTCTATATCCTTGTCATTACAATATTCTCTATATCCTTGTCATTACAATATTCTCTATATCCTTGTCATTACAATATTCTCTATATCCTTGTCACTACAGTATTCACTATATCCTTGTCACTAAAGTATTCACTATATCCTTGTCACTACAGTATTCACTATATCCTTGTCATTACAATATTCATATTCTCTATATCCTTGTCACTACAATATTCTCTATATCCTTGTCACTACAATATTCTCTATATCCTTGTCACTACAATATTCACTATATCCTTGTCACTACAATATTCTCTATATCCTTGTCACTACAGTTTTCACTATATCCTTGTCATTACAATATTCTCTATATCCTTGTCACCACAATATTTACTATATTCTTGTCACTATGGAATGGGGGAATGTGGCTGTAGCTACAGAGTTACATGCGGACGGTGACACAGGCGGACAGTTTCTTATCAGCTGTCCATACTGGTGGAAGAGCACTTATGGTTTATAACCGTGTGCAATGACACTGGTTCACATCTCCCGACTTTACCTTTTTTTTTTTACCTTTACTACAAATTCACTATATCCTTGTCACTACAGTATTCACTATATCCTTTTCACTACAGTATTCACTATATCCTTGTCACCACAGTATTCACTATATCCTTGTCACACTACAGTATTTACTATATCCTTGTCATTACAATATTCGCGTTGAGCCGCGTTAGCGAAGTCGATAGGAGGCTCGCTTTCAAATCTAGCTGCAACTTGCTCCAGCCGCGGTCAGGGTTCGAAACTGGGCGGTTCCTGGGGTTCACCCAGCCTCTAGGAAATGGGTACCAGAGTTGATACTCTGGGGTGAATGGAGGAATGTCGATGTAGCTACGGAGTTACGTGCAGACTGTGACACAGGCTGATAGTTTTTTATCAGCTGTCTGTACTGATGGCAGAGCACTTATGGTTTATAACCGTGTGCAATGACACTGGTTCACATCTCCTGACTTTACCCTTTTTACCTTTATGACATTATTCACTATATCCGTGTCACTACAGTATTCACTATTTCTGTGTCACTACAATATTCACTATTTCCTTGTCACTAAAGTATTCACTATATCCTTGTCACCACAATTTTCCTCATATCCTTGTCACTAAAATATTCACTACATCCTTGTCACTACAGTACTCACTATATCATTTTCACTATAGTATTCACTACATTCTTGTCACAGAAGTCAACTGTCACAATAACATCCACTATATCCTTGAATGGAAACAAAAAACATAGAAAGCAATAGGCGAATTTGTTTACAAATGACATATAAATCCACCATTCTTAAAAGTACCAGCTTGTTTCAACAAGGCAAGTACAGGGTCCCCACCATGGTAGTGTATAGTATGCATCTCATGAGATACAGCAAAATATGCCAGGCAGTCAACCTGTGCAACCTGTTGTTTGTGCCTTCTTTGTTCAAATTTACAACAGGGAAACACTTCTCTGTATTGTAATAAGCTATTTTAACCATTTCAGCCTGTAAGAACCTCAAAGAAATGTCCTTTCTGAAAGTTTCATTAAAACAAAAATTTAAATTAAAAAACACCATGCAGGCTTATAATACTTACCAAATAAGCTAGAGCAAGAGAAGAAGAAGAAATCTGCAACCCAAGCGGGATGAAACCTATGACCACATAGACAGGTAAGCCTCCTAGCAGCTGCATAATTGCTGTCCCCTAATCACCAAAACAAAAATACAACTAAAATGCAAACCTCTCAAAAAGCTAAGGTCTAAGCAAAGAATTGATTGCTTTCACTCCTTCTGACCAAGAAATATATGGTGGTGTTAGCAAAATGCATCTGACTATGTGACATCAGAAGTTTTTTTTTTTGTTTGTTTAAATGATGTAGGAATGATATAACAGTGACCCAAAAAAAAATCCATTTTATTCACCCTAAATAATATTTAAATTGGAGATTGCAGGTTGTGTGTGTTAGTGTGTGTGTGTGTGTATGTGGTGTGTGTGGGGGGTGGGGGTGGGGTGGTTATACAGGTGTAGCGAACACAGCTCAAAACTAGCATGCCATACAAATCCCCGGACAAGCGTAGATATCAGCCTTTACAGTGCAGCAGGGTTTAGTTGATAATGGTATGTTTGAGTTGGGATATGTATCTCTTTAACTCTTTGAGTCCCAGGGGGTTTAGCATCACAGGCCCGGGGGATAGTAAAGGAAGTAATAAATCGGAGCATCATGCGTTCGTTGGGCTTCTAGGTAGGAACCTATGATGCGTTTCTTGGGACTCAAAGAGTTAAGATACCTCAGTGATGTGTTTGGGGGAGATATCAGGATCTTCTGTATGTTTGAGTTGGGATATCTATCTCTTTAAGGGGCACACTTTCTTGGCCTAAAGATACCTCAGTGATGTGTTTGGGGGAGATGTCAGGATCTTCTGTATGCTTTTTTCAAAAATTTCGTTCAAAAACCCTTTGGGAAAGCTATGAACCTGGGAATTCCCGAAAAACAATGAAATTATACAGGTCACTAAAGCCATTTATAAATCTTTAATTGACATATATTTTTATATTTTTAAATCTAAGAATTAAGGAGAGTAATCATAAACAAGAAAGAAGTAGGGAAGTAAACGGATGACACTAACTTGAGCCTTAAAAAAATGTGTTACTGTGACTCATACCCCATCACTATCTGACCACTCAGACTAAAGACAAATTATAACATCAGAATGAAATTTTAAAAACTATATAAAACACCAATGACCACCACCCTGCAAACTATTTTTAGTAAACGCCCGGACCTCCTAAACAGTGAGCAAGCACAAACAGAACTAATACCATTAACTAGGTTTGTCAGGGACAGGCCAATCCAGCAATACCAGTTTAGTGTCTTTAAAGAGTGTTTGTAATGAATGGTTATGCCAGATCACTGGTATCTCAGGGTGAAAGGGTTGTTGTGCTGTGTAACTTGGTCTCAAGAAGAAAGGGCTGTAATGAATGGTTATGCCAGATCACTGGTATCTCAGGGTGAAAGGGTTGTTGTGCTGTGTAACTTGGTCTCAAGAAGAAAGGGCTGTAACGAATGGTTATGACAGATCACTGGTATCTCAGGGTGAAAGGGTTGTTGTGCTGTGTAACTTGGTCTCAAGAAGAAAGGGCTGTAACGAATGGTTATGCCAGATCACTGGTATCTCAGGGTGAAAGGGTTGTTGTGCTGTGTAACTTAGTCTCAAGAAGAAAGGGCTGTATCGAATGGTTATGCCAGATCACTGGTATCTCAGGGTGAAAGGGTTGTTGTGCTGTGTAACTTGGTCTCAAGAAGAAAGGGCTGTAACGAATGGTTATGCCAGATCACTGGTATCTCAGGGTGAAAGGGTTGTTGTGCTGTGTAACTTAGTTTCAAGAAGAAAGGGCTGTAACGAATGGTTATGCCAGATCACTGGTATCTCAGGGTGAAAGGGTTGTTGTGCTGTGTAACTTGGTCTCAAGAAGAAAGAGCTGTAACGAATTGTTATGCCAGATCACTGGTATCTCAGGGTGAAAGGGTTGTTGTGCTGTGTAACTTGGTCTCAAGAAGAAAGGGCTGTAACGAATGGTTATGCCAGATCACTGGTATCTCAAGGTGAAAGGGTTGATTTGCTGTGTAACTTGGTCTCAAGAAGAAAGGGCTGTAACGAATGGTTATGCCAGATCACTGGTATCTCAGGGTGAAAGGGCTGATTTGCTGTGTAACTTGGTCTCAAGAAGAAAGGGCTGTAACGAATGGTTATGCCAGATCACTGGTATCTCAGGGTGAAAGGGTTGTTGTGCTGTGTAACTTAGTTTCAAGAAGAAAGGGCTGTAACGAATGGTTATGCCAGATCACTGGTATCTCAGGGTGAAAGGGTTGTTGTGCTGTGTAACTTGGTCTCAAGAAGAAAGAGCTGTAACGAATTGTTATGCCAGATCACTGGTATCTCAGGGTGAAAGGGTTGTTGTGCTGTGTAACTTGGTCTCAAGAAGAAAGGGCTGTAACGAATGGTTATGCCAGATCACTGGTATCTCAAGGTGAAAGGGTTAATGTGCTGTGTAAACTGGTCTCAAGAAGAAAGGGCTGTAACAGCAGTTAATGATGCAGCCGCTGCTGCTGATCCTTTAATTCCTGAGTCTGTTCTGTTGAACTCAAAGTGGCCCTCGGGGCAAAGTCATACAGTCTTCCGAGTCGGTTGAAGCAACGGGCCAGTTGATCTCTCAGTGCACTGTCTGAGGCATACAAGATCAGCTGGCCGATGATGGTGAAGGTCACAGGAAGTAGGGCTGAGAAACTCTCATCTGGGAGGTTCATGGTCATCTGAAGGGCCGCAGTCAAAGTGTCTGACCAGGCCTGGATGCGGGCCTCGCTGTCCTGAAAGCAACCAATGTGGATACTGAATAGATACCTATACTTTTAATGTTTAAATTCTAGTGAATTAGCTTCACTGTACATGTTTATCATATATAGTTTGGTATCTTTCTATTGCATGTGTGTGAGTGTGTTATTGTGTGTGTGTATGTATGTATATCAGACAAGCCATGGACCAGGCTGATATACTGAATGCTATAAGAGAGTTAAGACATTTGCGTGAACCAACTGAGAACTGTGAATCTGCAACCATAGTCAGACTGCAAGAACAACATTTTAAATCTGGTGTCCAAACAAGAAAACTATGCGGGTAGTCAAAGAAGAATAATAAACCAACACAGAACTGGTGTCGTTAGCCGCTACACGCTGTGGGATTTACTGAAGAGGGGATCACTTTTGGACTGAGTGGTTTGACGTTCAATGAGCATAATCTGTCAACTAACTAACTAACATGAATGTATGTAGGAATGTGAATATGCATCAGTGCCAGAATGTGAGAGTGTATATATATATATGTACAACTGCAAATCTGTCAGTGTGGAATTAAACTCAAAACTTTTGGACCAACAGGTAAGCATCTAACCATTGTGCTACTGCAGTTCAGTTTCATATAAGATATATAATTTAATTACCTTCATTATCGAAGATGTCTGCTGTTTGTCAATAGCCTCGTCTACCGCCTCTCTTCGGGGAATTTTAAGTTTCCGCTGTAACTTTGGTGCCCGGATGAAATTTGGCATAGAACGCTGATGTTTGTGTCGTTTGTACTGTGACATGAGGTTTTCTATCACCTGGTCTGTGGCCACGGTGTATACCTGGGAGTCATTGTTAGAAACATAAACTTACCTAACAAGATCTTGATAGAAAAATAAACTTACCTAACAAGATCTTGATAGAAAAATAAACTTACCTAACAAGATCTTGATAGAAAAATAAACTTACCTAACAAGATCTTGATAGAAAAATAAACTTATCTAACAAGATCTTGATGGTAACAAAGATTTCGTAACTAATTTTATGCAGACCTGCTAGCCCTTTATAGAAACATAAACATTATTAACATAATCTTAAAATTAAAAATTAACAAGATATTTAATTAAAATAATTAAAATAAACAAAATCTGATAAAATATTTAAGTTTAGACAAATGAACATTTTCTAACTACTTTTGTGCAGACATGCTGACCATTTATAGAAAAATAAACATTACTAACATGATCTTTAAAAGGAACCTTGTCTAACAAGATATTTAATATAAATCATTCAGAGACACTAAACATTATTTAATTTAAAAAATCTATACACTATTTATAAAAACATAAACATTTTATAATAAGATTTTTATAGAAGCCTCAACATTTTCTAAAAAACATTAGGTATAATTTTTAAAAAAACAATTTTTATGGTGGCCATTTCCAGAAACAAAATATTGTGCAGCCATCAGTGTGTACTCATGGAGGCCATTTACAGAAACTTTATCTAACACAATATGGATAGAAACAAACTTGTACATTTTTATAACAAATTTTGTGTAGACCAAGTGCCTACTTTTAGAAACATTTTCTGGCCAACACTGTGTACACATGAAGGCCATTTGTAGAAACATTTTCTGGCCAACACTGTGTACACATGAAGGCCATTTGTAGAAACATTTTCTGGCCAACACTGTGTACACATGAAGGCCATTTGTAGAAACATTTTCTGGCCAACACTGTGTACACATGAAGGCCATTTGTAGAAACATTTTCTGGCCAACACTGTGTACACATGAAGGCCATTTGTAGAAACATTTTCTGGCCAACACTGTGTACACATGAAGGCCATTTGTAGAAACATTTTCTGGCCAACACTGTGTACACATGAAGGCCATTTGTAGAAACATTTTCTGGCCAACACTGTGTACACATGAAGGCCATTTGTAGAAACATTTTCTGGCCAACACTGTGTACACATGAAGGCCATTTGTAGAAACATTTTCTGGCCAACACTGTGTACACATGAAGGCCATTTGTAGAAACATTTTCTGGCCAACACTGTGTACACATGAAGGCCATTTGTAGAAACATTTTCTGGCCAACACTGTGTACACATGAAGGCCATTTGTAGAAACATTTTCTGGCCAACACTGTGTACACATGAAGGCCATTTGTAGAAACATTTTCTGGCCAACACTGTGTACACATGAAGGCCATTTGTAGAAACATTTTCTGGCCAACACTGTGTACACATGAAGGCCATTTGTAGAAACATAAACATCTAACTAAAACTGTGCACACCTAGTGACTTCTTATAGATACATAAACATCCATGATATTATACATCACACATCACTTATGGCAGATATCACACATCCTTGAAGTTATACATCACACATACTTTGTATCAGGTATTCAACATCCATGATGTTGTACATCACATATACCTTATATCAGGTATCTTACATCCATGATGTTATAAATTCCTCATCCACAGAGTTGTTGTACCTACCATGACCATAATGTAATATATCACATATCCATTATGTGAAGTATACAATTTCCATGACACTATATACCTTACATTCATGGTGTGAAACATCCACCAACCCACATTTATGACCTCATATACACCCCTCCCATGATGTCATGTACTCAATAATTACAGTGTTATATACCTCACACACCCATGATATTAGGTACCCCACAATTATGGCATTATGTATCCCACACCATTAAAGTTATGTACCCCGCAGTATGATGTTATATTAATCACACCCATATTATGTACCCTATACCTATGACAGCATCCAAAAGGTTTTGAAAAAGGAGGGAGCTCAAAGACAACTATCACAGACATCAGAAGGAGACAGCCATTATTTTTTGGCTATGTTATGAGAAGAGGGAAAATGGAACATGTTGTGACCACTGGAAAGATATGTAGAAGGAGGGATAGAGGAAGACAACGAGAGAAGATTCTTGACAGTCTTTTTGCATGGCATGGAGGTGTGTCAGCACACGGACTGATACATGCTGCAGGAGATTGCGGATTATGGAAAAGCATGATCGCCCATGCCAGTTGGCAAGGCACCTGATGATGATGACACCCATGACATTATGCCCCACAATTATAATGTTACATACTCCACACACATGATGTTATGCACCCCACAATTTTGGTGTTACACACCCCACATCCATAATATGTACCCAACAAATATGATGCTACATACCTCATATCCATGATGTTATAAACTAATTCTACAAAAACTGTATTCACCACACTACCAACCCACCTTGCTTTGCATCTCGGCTCTGATTTCCCGCTTACTTTTAACTCTCTCTTCATCCTCATCCACATGTGGGTTGTCAACTTTGCTTTCTGTCTCCTCCTCACTGTTGGAATCCTCATCTGTGCTAATGTGGCCTAAAAAGGACAGATAGTTACCAGTAAGCAAAACAACAAAATTTACACCTGATTATGTTTAGTCAGCCGGTGAATGGAAGACTGAGTTTTAAGTCTCAGATACTAAAGCCTGGAGTCATCTTCCGCCATAGGCCCTTAACCAACTCATGACATGTCATTCTATTCTTTGATATCACCTTCAGCTCATACCTCTTATCTTATGCATCATGTTCATTTAACTAATTCCATTCTCTGCCATTATTAAGACAACATATACTTTTCTCCTTCTTCCACTCCTCCAGTCATTATAACAATATTTCAGACACAGGTGGTCCAGCCTGGACAGCCATTCTTCAGCTTTAGACAACAGAAGTAATAACCAAACTATACATTTTTTAAATTTTAAATCCTGTCTTCCAAATTATGTGAAGTTTCAGTACTGATCTTGCACACCTGCAGATTTCCGAGATTGGGGAGGAAAGGACAGCTCTGAAACTCACTCTCTATGGAGACAGTGCTCTAAGGACAGCTCTTAAACTCACTCTCTATGGAGACAGTGCTCTAAGGACAGCTCTTAAAACTCACTCTCTATGGAGACAGTGCTCTAAGGACAGCTCTGAAACTCACTCTCTATGGAGACAGTGCTCTTGGAATTCCCTCTTAGGGCTCAAAGAGCTCTAACATTAATGCATTAGACTCTCGGAATGAAGCTCATCATTCAGAGGTCTTCAAGCCAACTACCAACATGTCAACCAGCCACCCACCCAGCCAATCTACCAACATGTCAACCAGCCACCCACCCAGCCAATCTGCCAACATGTCAACCAGCCACCCACCCAGCCAATCTACCAACATGTCAACCAGCCACCCACCCAGCCAATCTACCAACATGTCAACCAGCCACCCACCCAGCCAATCTACCTACATGTCAACCAGCCACCCACCCAGCCAATCTGCCAACATGTCAACCAGCCACCCACCCAGCCAATCTACAAACATGTCAACCAGCCACCCACCCAGCCAATCTACCAACATGTCAACCAGCCACCCACCCAGCCAATCTGCCAACATGTCAACCTGCCACCCACCCAGCCAATCTACCAACATGTCAACCAGCCACCCACCCAGCCAATCTACCAACCATCCAACTAGCCAGCCAACAAATCCATCTATTAAATTCTTTTTGTTTGTTTGTTTGTTGACCCTTAAAAGGGCAGTTGGCATAGTGTGTTCTGGTTAACCGTGTTGGTATAGTGTGTTCTGGTTAACAGTGTTGGTATAGTGTGTTCTGGTTAACAGTGTTGGTATAGTGTGTTCTGGTTAACAGTGTTGGTATAGTGTGTTCTGGTTAACAGTGTTGGCATAGTGTGTTCTGGTTTACAGTGTTGGCATAATGTGTTCTGGTTTACAGTGTTCACACAGTGTGTTCTGGTTAACAGTGTTGGCATAGTGTGTTCTGGTTAACAGTGTTGGCATAGTGTGTTCTGGTTAACAGTGTTGGCATAGTGTGTTCTGGTTAACAGTGTTGGCATAATGTGTTCTGGTTTACAGTGTTGGTATAGTGTGTTCTGGTTAACAGTGTTGGCATAGTGTGTTCTGGTTAACAGTGTTGACATAGTGTGTTCTGGTTTACAGTGTTGGCATAGTGTGTTCTGGTTTACAGTGTTAGCATAGTGTGTTCTGGTTTACAGTGTTCACACAGTGTGTTCTGGTTAACAGTGTTGGCAAAGTGTGTTCTGGTTTACAGTGTTGGCATAGTGTGTTCTGGTTAACAGTGTTGGCAAAGTGTGTTCTGGTTAACAGTGTTGGCAAAGTGTGTTCTGGTTTACAGTGTTGGCATAGTGTGTTCTGGTTAACAGTGTTGGCATAGTGTGTTCTGGTTTACAGTGTTGGCATAGTGTGTTTTGGTTAAGGGGTCACTACACCAAAAATTTTTATTTTTTTATTTACAGACTTAGAGCAGTTATTTTATGATGGTTATTTGTAGTGATACATTTTATTACATTTGTATACTTTAAGTGTTAAAAAATCAAAGCTGTCATGTCAATAGCTGCCATCTTGTGAAAAAAACAATATGTTCTTTGAATCCTAAAATTTTAAAAACAAACATAGGTATTCAACAATAGATGATGGATCCATGACCTTTTATTCTACTTAGAGGTACAGGTCTAGTTTATTTACTTTAAACATGCTTTTAAATATTTTTCGTAGAATTTTAAAATGTAGGTTTATTGAAAAAGTCAAAAAAATCTAGCATCATAAGACAATAATCACATTTTAGAAAACAAAAACTTTCTAAAATCTACTTTTAGATAGACCAGTCCCTATAATATTGTTTATGGAGTAGGCATACAAAATTTCATGTTTCTACTCTTCATATTAGCTTAGATTTTAGGATTTCACACACACAGCAAACTGAAATATAGAGATTTGAGAAAACTGACTTTTAAACTTTTTTTTATCTTAAAAAAGTGCACGAGAAGGTGTCGTTAGTATAAAATTTTCAATGCTAAACTGTTTACAAATGACATAAATTTCTTGTGGCCTCTATTCTACGAATGCCGAACTTTACAAAAACGAACACATTAAAAAAGTGATATTTTTGTCATAAATTGGGAAAAATGCCGTGTTCAGTGTTGGCATAGTGTGTTTTGGTCTAACAGTGTTGGCATAGTGTGTTCTGGTTTACAGTGTTGGTATAGTGTGTTCTGGTTTACAGTGTTGGCATAGTGGGTTCTGGTTTACAGTGTTGGTATAGTGTGTTCTGGTTTACAGTGTTGGTATAGTGTGTTCTGGTTTACAGTGTTGGTATAGTGTGTTCTGGTTTACAGTGTTGGTATAGTGTGTTCTGGTTTACAGTGTTGGTATAGTGTGTTCTGGTTAACAGTGTTGGCATAGTGTGTTCTAGTTTACAGTGTTCACACAGTGTGTTCTGGTTTACAGTGTTGGCATAGTGTGTTCTGGTTTACAGTGTTGGCATAGTGTGTTCTGGTTTACAGTGTTCACACAGTGTGTTCTGGTTTACAGTGTTGGTATAGTGTGTTCTGGTTTACAGTGTTGGTATAGTGTGTTCTGGTTTACAGTGTTGGTATAGTGTGTTCTGGTTTACAGTGTTGGCATAGTGTGTTCTGGTTTACAGTGTTCACACAGTGTGTTCTGGTTTACAGTGTTGGCATAGTGTGTTCTGGTTTACAGTGTTGGCATAGTGTGTTCTGGTTTACAGTGTTCACACAGTGTGTTCTGGTTTACAGTGTTGGTATAGTGTGTTCTGGTTTACAGTGTTGGTATAGTGTGTTCTGGTTAACAGTGTTGGTATAGTGTGTTCTGGTTAACAGTGTTGGCTAATGTGTTCTGGTTTACAGTGTTCACACAGTGTGTTCTGATTGGCAGCTAGGCTGTCATATCTGCACCTTTCGGCTCAACACCTCCAATTTCAGTGAAACCCTTATTGGTCGCTTTTTACAACAGACCTAATACAAACTGCACATTTTACAACACAGCAATACAAATGCACCTCCGATTTCAGCGAAACCCTTATTGGTCGCTTTTTACAACACACTTAATACGAACTGCAAATTTTTACAACACAGTAATACAAATGCACCTCCGATTTCAGCGAAACCCTTATTGGTCGCTTTTTACAACACACTTAATACAAACTGCAAATTTTTACAACACTGTAATGCAAATGCACCTCCGATTTCAGCGAAACCCTTATTGGTCGCTTTTTACAACACACTTAATACGAACTGCAAATGTTTACAACACTGTAATGCAAATGCACCTCCGATTTCAGCGAAACCCTTATTGGTCGCTTTTTACAACACACTTAATACGAACTGCAAATTTTTACAACACAGTAATACAAATGCACCTCCGATTTCAGCGAAACCCTTATTGGTCGCTTTTTACAACACACTTAATACAAACTGCAAATTTTTACAACACTGTAATGCAAATGCACCTCCGATTTCAGCGAAACTCTTTTTTGGTCGCTTTTTACAACACACTTAATACAAACTGCAAATTTTTACAACACTGTAATGCAAATACACCTACGATTTCAGCGAAACTCTTTTTGGTCGCTTTTTACAACACACTCAATAGAGGAGCAGTGGGTCTATTCCATTTCCCCCCTAAAATGGGGCCCAGAACCCATAAAGGGTATCTATTCAATTATTCAACTAATCATATTCAACTCGACTAACCATTTATTCAATCAATCATCCAGAAATCTAGTCAGCTGGTCTTTGTAGTGGTTAAGTCACTTGCCTCAAGCTCAGACTGCATCTTTGGTTCACAAGTACGTGTATCTCAGGGGTTTCTGGGGTTTGTTGATGGAGCTATGGAGATTCATGCCATGTGTGAGCAGCAACTTTAAGCCACACTAAGTAATCAGTCTGGGATAGAAAGAACTTGATCCTCTTGCTTTTAACCTATTACTCAACTAACCAAACCATTCATCCAATTATTCCAGCAATAAACCAACCATCTATCCGCACAAAGAAGAAAGAATCCCACAAACACAAAAAGTAAAGAAAAATAAAACAAAGTTATGTACCCTGTGGCCTTGTTACCGCCATAGACATTGTGTTTATTCCTTGACCCGCCTTTGACCCTTCTGTACATTGCGACTTTGACTTCTGCAATTCAGCAGTCTTAGGCTTTTGTGGCTTGGCTGATTTTGCCCTCTCAGCTGCCAGCAGGGCTTGTGAAGCAATCTGAGATATGTCATCATGCTGTGCCGTCAAAAAGAAAATGGGCTTCTCTGAAATTTTGTCCAAAATGGAGCTCTTCCCAGCATCCTGGAGGACCTGAACATAACTCTCACACAATTCTTCACACATATTCTGCAGCAAAGGCAGGAATATGTTTCCACTGGTCCAAGGTTTGGCCAATGAGTTTTGCGCCAGCTGTTTAAGATCTGTGATAGAAGATGTGGACCCCAGGGCTTGTGAAGTTCCATCTCCTTGTGCAATTGCAGCCCTTAAAAGGTTTGTGGGGGGAAAAAAAGAAAAAGAAGAAAAAAGGTCGCAGGTAAACATTATGAAATGATCTTAGTTAAGAGCTGAGTTAAGTTCTTTTTCATGTTCACCAGCTGTAAATTCTGACGGACAGTTATGGTTGCTCATCCACTTCTGGACTTAAGTCTTGTTCCAGAACCTGAGTTTTGTATGCATGTCTGTTTTACAAATTTGGCTTATTTGTATGCAGACTGTTTGTTCCTCACCTCTTAGGCAGATGCACTTAACTCTGAAGGAAACATCCCTCATTAGTAGACTCTTACGACATGCTTGTTAGGGGGCAGTGAGTCTATTCCTTTTTCCACCATCACAACAAGGCACCAGAACCTACATAGGAAAAGTTAAGAATAGACATAACAGTACTAGGACATTCCCACAAGCGGTCTGTCCCCATCTTCAGCAGCAAGCCCAGTTTCAGTTCAGATCATACCATAAGCAGTCTGATTGTATGTTCATCTCCTTTGAGTGTTGAGTGTCAGCCAGATCCCATGGTTACTCTCTGCTGCACCATTCCCTTCACACAGTGATGATTTTTTTGTGTGCTGCGGCACCAACTTAGTCAGGTAAACATAGTATCACTCACAGACAGGAGATGCAGTAGCACAGTAACTAGAAGCTTGCCTTTGCTTGTCTGCCCAAAGATCTAAATGGGCACAGAAAATCCTTTGGGAAGTAAAGACAGCCGGCACGATGTTGACTACATCACCTATCGGTGCCCAGTGGTCTATTAAATATATAGGTATATAACTATGAGTTAAAGTCAAGATGATCTACTTCAGTGAACCAGGTTTTACCCCTTTTGGCTTAGTCTCTCTCTGCAGAACAGCTAGCCGCCTGCCAAAAGTGGCACACAAACCACGAACATCATAGTGTCGACAATGATGCCCAGGGGTCTCTGTAAAAACTGCACCCATGAAACAAATGATACAGTCATGAAACGAACCATGACCTTCACAGCATGAGGCAAACAGCTTGGCAACTTTGCCACAGAGACCCCCAACCATGAGCTAATGGCTTGAGAAGGATATTTTAGCTTTAAAAATCACAAACAATAATGTTGCTGCTTTCTTTCATGGTAACTGGGAATTTTTAAAATGATGATCTCAAATGATATCCCTACCCACACAGTACTGCGGGTCACACCAAACTGGTGTGACCATTACAGGTGGCTAAATTATAACATCCTTGGAGGATAAACAAGGTCTCTGGGCTTGCCCTGTTGGTCTGCCACCCAGATTGAGATCTTCTGATCTCAGGCTGTCAAACTTCTTAGGTAGCAGCTCGGAGAGAATAAATATCATATAGGCATAATATTCTGTTGAAGTCAAAATAGCGGAAGAGGCAATTTATTATGCTGTGACATAACTTAATGACGCTGCAATGTCAGCAATAAAATGAACTAGACACCTTGGAGTGCCTAGTGGATATTTCACTGAGGGTGCAAAGAGGACATAAACTATATAAATTCGTCTGAAGTTAAAGCCTTCAAAGAAACCCAGAAGAGATTTCATAAAAGTCTTCCTTGATGGCACAGAAGCCAGAGAAGGAGATATGCACACTCCTGGGGAAAATCAGCGGTCATTTGGTAAGTAAATTAAGAAAAATATGCGTTTTTGTAATGTTTTCCAGCAAATTATGTTTTTGGATGTTGTCAAATTTCCAAATATGATAGCTTTAACAATTAATGTCTAACAGGCCTGAAATTCGCCATGGATATTCTTGATCATGAAAGGGCCTGAGTTATGATAAATGCAGCACAATGTGGGTAATGAGTTTAAAAAAAATTTTTTTTTTTAAAACCTATTAGGTTATTTTATTTAGGCAAATTACTACCTTTTTTTTAGGGTCTTAATAAGTTCTTACCTCAATGACTTAATGAGAGCTTCATTATGTTAACACATCCCTTCAATATTAGACCTCTATGTTTCATACTGTCTCAACTGCGAGCTTAATCTAAGCATACATCTTTCTGAGGGCAAGGAAAACCTCTAAATTATCTTCCCAAGAATATATTTATGGGCAGCATGTAACAAATGTTTAATTTTTTTTTTTTTTTCCAGCAACTGGCATCTTGTAGTTTTCAGAAAGACTGCAATATGTGCACCTATCGGTCTAACACATCCAATTTCAGCAAATCCTTAGCTAACCACCCTATAACTTGTTGAGTTGCAGTGGTTTCATATTCATCCCCCCTCCCCCTTCCCTAAAACTTTGAAACTAAGGAGGCCCCAGAACCTACATAATAATAATGAGTGAGTGAGATGATCAAAACCAGCATAGAACAGCACTCACTTGGTGGAGATGATACTGCTGTCATCCAGGTGAGCGCACACCTCAATCAGAGCATGCATGTGGAACAACACTGCAGTGGCCATCTGCTTGTACAAGTTGGCAGCCACCTCCAGAGAGGCCACCTTCTGGAGAAGGAACTTCAGACCTGGCCGGGCATCAAAGTCTTGCGCCAGCTTGAAGACATCGTCCAAGGCTGCCAAGAACTGGCCAATGTTTCTCGTGGACATGTAAGCCATCAAGCCTGGTAATAGACACAATAAAGGGCTGTTAAAGTGAGAAGCAACAATGAAATTCAAAATCTGTTTCAATCACTAATCTTCCAGTTCCAGTGTGGGTTCCAGGGTTCCACTGTGGGGAAAAGAACAGACCCACTGTCCCCCGCCACCCCTACAGTAAGCATGATGTAGAAGCTGATAAATTAAGGCTGGTTCCTTCAAAATCGGAGTACGTCTGCCGGTTAGCTGAGGAAAAAACAGTCTGCACACATATAAGAAGATATGTAAAACAGATGTGCATGCAAAACTCAAGTTCTAAAACAAGACTAAAGTCCAGAATCAGAAGTGGATGAACAACCAAATCACTACTAATTACTGGTATCATGAGGGCTAACATGTATGTATGTAAGTTGTACCACACAAGGACATCACACAAAGCAATAAACACCCGGTGAAACAAAGTACCACTATGCAGATGAGGATCACCCATGGAGACATAAAGAAACCCCATTCAGCCATTAGGCCATAATTAAGGCCAAGCTATATTTACCGACCCCGGCAAAAGCCAGGGTAAGGCTTCAAAATAGCTAAAAATTGCATCATACATGGGGATGACTTTTATTATGATAACTGCTTAAAAATATAAGGGCCAACAGACTGCAAAGGTTGGGACATACAAAGAAAATGGAAGAAAACAGAGAGACTAATACTGTGAAAACACAGAACTGAATGGGAGCAGACCATGAACCTTAAGGGCTCCGAATGCTGAAGAAGAAAGATGAGACAAAATCCCAATGAATCTTAACCACTTCAAAATGTGAGTAATACACTTATTTAGGCAGTAATGGAGACAATGATAGAGGAACAGATAAGAGTCGACCATGAGTCACACCTAGGGGAAAGACAAAGACAATAAAATTAAATCACATAGGTGAAATCAGTAATATACTTATTTAGGCAGTAATGGAGACAATGATAGAGGAACAGATAAGAGTCGACCATGAGACAGACCAAGATAATTATGGAGAGATAATATTCCTAGGGGAAAGACAAAGACAATAAAATTAAATCACACAAACAATATCAGTCTATATGTGAAATCTTACTCACTTTCAAATGTGAAGTCATATACTTATTTAGGCAGTAATGAGGCAAATGATGGAGCATTACTGTAAGGTCTTGGTCAGATATGACTGAGCTACTGTAAAACAGTAGTCAGTACTTCCTGTTTTCTGTTAACGCTGAATGTTGGGTGGCACATACCAAACCTGACATCCCACATTGTGTCATGGACTTTAGGTGGAGGAGCCCATAGTGAGCTTTATCCTAGGAAGAGGAAACACAACAAAAATTATGTTATGGCAGGGCAGACCAGGCTCTTAGTATTGGCTAGCAGCTGGTCTAGGAGGAAAGCTCCTACAGGCACTGCTCTTCTGATCCATCAGCTTCTGCAGCGTGATTTGTTTCAAACATATTGCTTTTATCTTGCTTTTGGAGTAAACAGGAGAGGCCTAGTGAGGGATCATGATGCATGGGCAACAGATGGTCTCTACAATACTGCTTAGGCTTCTACTACAATAAAAATGATGTGTGCAAGTGGGACAAGAATGATACAGGTATCGAAGTATATTTTTTGGAACAAAATGCCAAGGACCATGTTGCGTGGAGGAAGAAAAACCAGAAAGGAATGGGATTAAAGGAAGAAAAATGACTGCCGATACGTTGAGGGCTGCGCGTCTGAGAAAAAGCATACTTAATACATTTGAGGGCAACAAGGATCCTGAAATCCAATGCTATAATTGTGGAAGACTTTTCTTAACGCGGGCGGGTACTGCTGGTCACACTCGCCATTGCCAGGGCTGTGATTCCCATGCCTCCCCATAGCACAATATTACACTATCATTTGGAAAGGTGCAGACTGATAGAGGAACAGATAGAGACCGAGTGGACCTTGAGGCAGACCAAGAAGACAGTGGAGAGATAATATTAAAACTGACCTACAAACATTTGGAGTCACCAAATGTAAAGAGAAGGCCAATCACACAGATGAATGGAGGAAGGTGATATCTGCAGCAATGAACTAAAATGGACTTTAGAACTGAAAAAAAGACATATTTGCATACACTTGTTTTCAAACACATACTACAGACCATCTATCTCACCTGGCAAGCCCCTGTGTTGGTCGGCCATCCTAGGAACATCATCCCCCTGTTGCAACAAGACACTCCCAATTGTCTGCAGCAGCAGCTGACTGGACAACAGCCCCACAACCACATGTCGAAATGGTACCCTGTGATCATGAAGTTAAAATAACACCCAACATCAGATTAGGTGATCAGTCTATGGTCGATGCTACCAGGGGATTTGGGAGATGCTCCACACTCAGGGGGAAAAATGAGATAGATATACAATCAGACAGTTAATGGTGCCATTGAAATTGAAACTCTTTGCTTGCTGCTGAAGATGGGGACAGAGCACTTATGGGAGTGTCCTGAGTGCTATGATGTCGATTCTTAATTCAACACTGGTCGAGGTGGTCAGAAGAGCTAGAAGCAGAACCTTATATCTCACTCAAAACTCAAAGCAGTAAAAGAGGAAATGAAGAAGAAATAGATCAGTAACAGGGATGATCGTATTACACTCATGCAATGAAGTTAACATCCAACAACAGGTTAAGTGATCAATTAAAAGAATGACTCCTGTTATAAAATGCAATGAAGTTAACATTCAACCTTAGCTAATTAACTCAATGCCTGGCAATTTAATATGGGTTATAGGGCTCTCTTACATTATATATTTTTTAATTAACTTTTGTGTGTGCCCTTTCCAGCTGTAAAATTAACTCATTCTACTCTGAATGATACTTACAATTCTTTTGTTCTATGATAGTATTACTGGAATTTATTTAAACCTAGACAGTTATTATTTTAGGTAATAAATACTTGACAGAAAGAAATGAAGGATCGTTTGCCTGGAACTGAAAAAAAGGTAAGCATCAATAAAAACTAAAAATTATGTTTTATACACAAGCACAATACAGTTAACAGCCAACATCATGTTAGTGGCGAACTTAACAAAAATATATGTTAGATATACCCTCATGCAGTCATCTTGATGCTCACTGTCTGTAAATAGCCATTATGGCACTATCATAATTAAATGGCTGTGAGACACATAGCGCTCCCTGGTGAAGAAATCAAAAGGGCTTCACGGAATTCACCTGATATGTGCATAAATTAGGTAAACATTTCCGATTATTTCAATATTGAAATATAACCTGAATCGATGACTAACTTATGTTCTTGGTATGCTTAGCTAAATATATAAATTGCTGTGGTCGCAATATTAAACGTGTGTCAATAGATCTCTGTCGTTCTTCTAAGAGGCAAGTGGAACTTAAAATACGTTTTTACTAGGTGGCAAACAATGCTGAACTTTATGAAATAAAAACCGGCATTCATTTTTATGTAAATTTGTAAAGTTTAAACTATCAGAGATGATGAAAAAAGTTATCTACAAATATTTTCAATATTGTATGCTACCACGTAGCAATACAATGGTGGGAAACAGAGCCTCGGCTTGTTGCAACGGATGACAATGAATTCAAATGTTTTAATGCATTACAGTCACAAAGAATGTTAATTAGATACTGCATTCATGTTAACATTTCTTTAGAAAGCTTTGATTAGCTGAGTGAGTGAAACAAGCTTCTTCACTAAATTCTTAAATCATATGGTGTCATGCAGCTCCACTAGCCAGTTGAAAATAAATGGAGATAATTGATGCCGAGAATTGTAATGAACCACAGTGGTTTTATATATTTTCATAAATTGTGCATCCCAGGCAATGTTAATTCACATATAGTTTATTTCAGCATTGATTTCAACGTGAATTTCGGAAATTTTAACTAAGTGAGTTGTTGAAAAATGTCTGAACTCAATTCTTAAATTGTGTGAAGATGAGCAGTGGCAACGGCTAATTCTAATGGTGGAAAACGTCACTATGACCACTGCGTTTTAATATTTTTAATATATTTTCATTACTCATTCCCTAATAGTGTTAATTTGTATACAGTATAATTCAACATTTATTTTTTTGTTTTATGTTTTAACTAGCTGAGTTGTGAAAAAAATTTTTGGTAAACTAAATTCTTAAATCATATGGTGATGAACGGCTGCATGAAACTGAAATTAGGGGATGCAATCCACTGTTTGTTATGGTGACCGCAAGGAAGCAATTTATTGTTTGTTTACGTTCACAAAATAATGTTCTTTAATGTTTAATTTTGTTTGAGATTAGGAGTAGGATTAAGTGGTTCATTAGGCGGACTTCAGTACAAACCTTGTAGAAATATGGTCAGGATTCAGGCTGTCTTGATGGCCAGGTGGGTAGAGCAGAAAGACAAATGATTTATCTTGGTCTGTGTCATAATGTACATCTGGCATGGAACTGATTTGACAGTCCAAGAGAAACACCTACAGAAGACAATCAGATTTTTTACAAATGGAATATAATATTGAATTTTATATAACATGGCTTGTGATACGTTTGGGTATTCTGAGGCACTTAGGGACTTTACATAAATGCTTAGATTATCCTTTTCCCCCCAACATACGTATCTGTATTCTAAAGCTACCAGTGTCAGGCCTAGGCTGGCTGACAGGATCTCTTATCCATCTGGTGTGTCTCTCGTGCCAACTATCTCACTGTCAGCAGCAATGGAGGCCTCCAAAAATCATTCTCTCTCCAAAAGCACAACAATGTCAGCAGTATCCACAGCTTTGCCTGCAATTATGGCAAGCTAGCCAGTCTATCAGTTCTTTCGCTACCAACAACATCCACATGCCCAGAAACAAATGAAGGGATTATATTAACAGTGCACCCTTCAAAGACTTAAATCACTGCCTGTATGCAGCTTGCCTCCCTGCATACAAAAGGGCAGCTGTTTGCCTCCCTCACAGAATGACTGTACAGTCCTTCCTTGTAGCCACTTTCACTTGGCCAATGTCCCCATAGAAGTTATCAGAGTTTGGGTGGAACAAGGCCATCAGAAGCTGCAGGTTGTACATACTAACGCTGAGAGCCCGCCGAATTGCCAGTGCCCCAACATGCCAGAGTTTTTCTGATAAATGAGGTCCAGCAGACAGCAGAATATGCCTGGCATAGCAGTTTTAATAATTTATAGAATCTGTCAAAACAACTAGTAAGGCTGAGTTAAATAATTTACTCAATTTGTCAAAAAAACTGGTAAAGTGACATTTTATTGATGCATAGCATTTGTCACACACACATACACAAAAGAAAAAAAAAGTAGTTTTTTTAATATAAGTTTCTCTCTCTCTCACCCACCCATCAACACACACACACACACACACAAACTGGTAGAGTTGAGTTTTAATAATACACAGAATCACACAAATTTGAAAAAAAATAGTTATAATAATTTTAGTCTCTCTCTCTCTCTCTCTCTCTCTCACTTACTCTCACACACACATGCACGCCTTGCATACACAGAATGGAATATTAATTAAAAAAGGATCTTTTAAAAAGCAACTGGAAGGGCTAAGTATTAATTACATAAGGATTTGTCAAAAAGGAGGGTGGTGTCACATGGTCTACCTGACTTACGTTGTTTGTCAAGCTGCACTTACCTGATACAGGAGCAGCCAAGCCTGGAGATGTTCTCCACAGGCTGAGCCACACACTCAATGAGCACATCAAACATCTGCTTCAGCAGAAGCTGCAGTGGAACATCCAGACTGGGCAGATCTATTGAGGGAGCAACCCCATTCATTAATAGAGCATGGCAAAAGATAACTCACTCTGTATCAGAATGTTTAAAGCACAGAAAAAACATCTTTATTTATTTCCTCAATATATGAATGAATGAATGAATCAATGAATCAATCAATCAATCAATCAATTAATCAAAAAAAGAAATGACACTACAGACATTCCCATACATGCTTGCTCTCTTTCCTCAGCAGCCAACAAAGAGTTTCTCATGCTCACAGAGCCAACTGCAATCTGATTACAATTTCCAGAGTTGTAGAAAAACAAACAAAAAATTTAGGCCACACTCTCAAGCTATGGAAATCCAGTTAAAGGACAAAGATGTAGTATCAAGTTTCACACTCAAGCTATGGAATTCCAATGAAAGGACAAAGATGCAAAATATTACTGGGGCTGGACTCCATCCATGAAATTGAAGTTATTGCCTAGGATAGAAGAGAAGGCAAGAATAAACTGCAAGCCCTATGTGACATATAATGCCGTAACAGGATAATGATGATGCTACTTGGTCAGTCTGCCCATCAGGTGCTCAGCCCATCCACTACCTCTGTCCCTCTAAACCTCTGACCAGCAAGAACATATTCCATGCAGAATCTCAGTCTATCAAGGTCCTTTGCTCAATCCAGAACTTCTACCCCATGCAGGTCTTCTGCTCCTCCAAAAACACTGCTCATCAAAGTCCTCTGCTCATTCAGAACCTCTTCTTATCCACATCTTATCCACATCCAGGTAATCTGTCCTTACAGGTCCCGTTTATCCAAGACCTTATTTATCCAGAATCTTGCACATCCAGATCCTCTGCTCATCCAGGTAATCTGTCCATACAGGTCCCGTTTATCTAGGACCTTATTTATCCAGAACCTTGCACATCCAGATACGCTCTGCTTTTCCAGGTAATCTGTCACCTTGCACATCCAGATCATCTGCTTATCCAGGTAATCTGTCCATACAGGTCCTGTTTATCCTGGACCTTATTTATCCAGAACCTTGCGCATCTAGATCCTCTGCTCATCCAGGTAATCTGTCCATACAGGCTCTGTTTATCCAGGACCTTATTTATCCAGAACCTTGCACATCCAGATCCTCTGCTCATCCAGGTAATCTGTCCATACAGGTCCTGTGTATCCAGGATCTTGTTTAACCAGATCCTCTGCTCCTCCAGAAATCTGCTCATTCAGATTCCAAGCTGACTCTCCTTGAACCAATTTTCCCTTGGAACTGTTCCATTTAATTACAATATAGATTTTTAAGGACTTCTCTGTCTTTGTAAAAACTAAATGAATAATACAAGCATTTAAATAATGTTTGACACTTTTACAATTTTTCGCAATATTTACCAGAATATTTGGTCACAAACTCCACAACCAGGTCAGCCACCAGGCCGCAGCACTGCTTGAAGCTGTTAATGCCAGTGTTCCAGTAACCGTAACAACGGGAACCTCTGCGCAGCCAGGACTGCATCATGGGAAGCAGGAGGTGGTTCATGCAGTGGACGGAGAACTCTGGTCCTAGACACAGAACCACAGAAAACAAAATTAAAATGTGATAGGGCAAAGCTTATCCAAAAGGAGGGGGGAAAAATACTAAAATAACTTTTCTGAAATTCATGACTTTTCTGAAGAAGGATGCATCAATTGATTCCATCTGTGAAAAATTATTATTTGTGTTCTGACTCCTGAAAAATGTCCAGAAGAGTAAAAATTCTGATCAGTCTTTATTTCATCTACTGTTGTATCTGTCCAACTGCAGACCTTAGACAGCTTGCATATTTTTGTAAGTATACATGAAGATATGCATTTGCTATCCATGATTTTTTTTATTTTTACTTTACACTCATACTGTGAGCTTAGATACATGGACATAATATGCCTGATATATAAAATGCAACTGCCATGTTAAAGATAAGCGTTTGAAAGGGCCTATGTAAGACAGGCCTGCTTGACCAATTTGTAACCTTTAGGAAATAAAGTTTGTTTGTTCGCTTTGGGAAATTCTAGAAAAGTAACAAAACAAAAAGTAGTTATGAATAAAGTTCTGACATGATTGGTGTAAAACACATAGGAAGATTTAAAGGAAGGGGGATGATGGGTCCTTTTACAGTGTCATGCAAGTACACAAAGAATATCCGCTAGTCAGTAAAAAGTTCTTCTGCCAAGTGTAGAAAACTCTTGCAAGCTGCAAGCCTGTAATCCCTAACCGCTACATAACGCCCAGAGAAAGTCAAGGAAAGATATATTTGTCACATTGGCTGAGATCATAATGGGTCTCATTATACCCTTAAAGTGTTAAAAATATTAAGATATTTCATAACTTACCTGGTACAATCGCTGCAGATCTCAGAAGATCAATCAAAGTGGTTAAAACATTTGACTGAACCATTTTTGGGCACCGGTTAATAGCCGACACAAGCCCATCAATTAGAAGAAACCACACATGCAAGATTCCAGACTCATTGTCCATATCATCTAGAGACTGAGACCTGTACAAGTGTTTGATGTTCTCACAGTCTACTGACTTTTTATGAGACTGACTTGTGTGTCCACTTTCTTCTGAATATGTAACTGTATCATCTCTGCTAATATCACAAGATCTGACTGGAACTACATTGCTAGACTCACTGACACACTGAGAATCACGAGCTTCAGAACATTCCAAAGAAGTTGTCAACTCTGACGCACTCTTGTCATTTTCCCTTACTGACGACGTCACATATGCTCAAATCCGATTCTAAAACTTCAGACTCTGAGACTTTCCCCTGATCAGACCCATCATCCAACTTTTGCTCAGTGTCTGCTAAATCAAGACATTGGGTTCTTCTGTTATCCAACATGCCATCACATGATCCTGGCAGCTCTGAACCCGGCACCTGTAAATTTTTTTGCCCATTCTGATCTTCATCACAGGAGACGGAAACAGCTGCATCACTATCAGGTTCAACAGGCAGATTTTCACCATTTATTTTCTCTTCGTCAGTAACTGAATAATTCTGATATTTATCCAAAGAAAATTCCTCAGCAAAATCTTTGAAATTCATGAAAGGAATTTCTCCATCAACAAATCTGGAGGCTGTGTCTACTTGAATCCTGAAAGACAAGAAAAGATCATTTAACATCGTACCAAACACTTTACACATCACACTGATTCAGAAAGTTTAGTGGGAAGGTAAATAATGAGACAGACAGGCAGATATAATAACAGATCATGAAGCATAAAATTATCTCATGAAACGAAGCTTCTCTCTTTACCCTGTCACTCTGAGAAGCTGCAAAACCGACACTTCAAACTGGGTCCAATTCCTTGTAAATATCACCAAAATTGTTAAGGTTATGTATTTGCAAGACAAATAGTTACAACTATTGGTTGTGTTCGTGCTGCACAGCATTTAGGAGGTCAGAATATGAATATATTTACTAAAAAGAGCATTGGAAAAAAAAAAGGAGTGGGGGGGGGGAGGGGGGGGGGGGGATGAAAATTAGTGAATTAAATAGTCTTACAAGGCACGGGGGGGGGGTGGGGGGGGGGGGGGGGGGGGGTTGATTGATCCAGGGGCGGGGGAGGGGGGGGGGGGGGGGGGGGGCCATATAGGGGAAATTCTAGAATTAGCTGACCCATCCTTGGCAGGGATCCTTGATAAACTCTTACAAGCTGGGGAATGTTCCACATGTCTGGTGTAAAATGTTCCCAGTATTACTAATGTATGTTGTTGGTATGTTGTGTATGTGAATATCCAGTGGCGCATTAGCTTTCGCACTTTGGCCCAATGCCATGTAGTGGAATTTCCCACATTCTAAGTGAAACAGTTCACACAACCTTGGCATGGATCCTTGATATATGTTTTACAGGCCTGGGGAATTGTATTGTGTGTAAAGTTGTAAGTGTATTTAAATGTTTCATCCATGTTTGTGCGTGTATTTTTTACACCGTGTGAATAGAGTATCCCCCCCACCCATGTATTCATGTTACACTACCCCCCCCCCCCCCCCCCCACACATTGTGACACACAAAACATTTAACAAAAGTACATAAATAAAAGTTTACACAATTTATTAGTGATCTGTGAAACAAAAAAATTTTTGTTTTTTAAATGGGATTTCCCATGGATTCATGACACAGTTTTATTAGCTTTGGCAGTGCAAAATGTTAATGTGGTTAAGTATTGCAGATTGAATTTAATTCAGCATATATTTTTTTTCTCAAGAAGAAAAAGAAGAAGAAGAATAAGAAGAAGAGGAAGAGGAGGAGGAAGAGGAGGAGGAAGAAGAAAGTATTTACCTATGTGCCCCTTTAAAGACTGGACAAGCTGGCATATGCCACATTGAGGCCAGGATGTCACAGACACGAGTCAGGTATTTGAGTGCCGGCACACACAAGTTCTCCAGCTCTCCTTCAGCATCACCATACCCGTCATCACTACCCGAATCAGATCGGTCTCCACTGAAGTCACTGTCAAATGTGGCTGCAAGATGGATACACACAAAGTGAGTCATTACTTCATGTTTAATTCTAAAATACAATGGTTGAGGCACAATAAAAATAATATTGATCTTCTTAACTTCCCCCAGTTACTTCATTGAAGATAAAAGATTAAAGGCTAAAGTTGAGAGGGTCGACTATATTACACCAGTTTTTATCCTAGAATGCTCAGTCTCTCTCAGCAGAATGGCTAGCTGCCTGCCGGGAGATTGGTGCAGAAACCACGAAAACCATAACTCTGATGAACTGCACTCGTAAACTGAATGACACAGGCATAAGGTGAAACAATGAACTTCAGTTCTAGTCTGCTTCCAATTTCTTTATTTTTAATTTCGTATCTTCTTCTTATTTTGGCAGCTCTATTCAGTCATCTCATCTCTACTGTTATGATTTTACACTTACTAGTTGTAGTAAGGGTTCATGTTTTATAATGGTTGCATTAAGATGGCCAAAAATGTAGTTATTAGATTTGGCTTGGTATACTCTTGGTATAGACTTATATGCGTTACAAGTGATGTTAGTTGTTCCAGTACCTGCTTTGCTTAAGGATATCATAGTACTGATTACTGTATCCATTCTTCCTTTTGATATGAAATATAATGAGAGCAGAAAAAGGTTCTTTCACAAAAAGTCACCCCAGATTACGTCACGGGGATAGTCCAATATTTTATAGGGTGGTAAGACCGGGTTTCCCGCTTTGTGGTGCTTTTTACTACCTCAAAACATCTAGAACTGAATCTAATCCCAACCCACCTATGTCCCACGACTGCATGCAGCCTAGGTCCCACGACTGCATGCAGCCTATGTACCACTGCCTGAAATATTGGACTGTCTGGGGTGAATAATATGAAAGCACATAGAAACATAATGACATTCTATCAGATTTGAACACTGCTGCTTTCTCCATTAATTATCCACATAGGACAGCAGGCTACAAGTCATCATATCTGTCTCATGTACTGCCAATACTTTATGATGTCCTTCTATGTCATCTATCTTAGCCACTCCCATGCATGAAAATGAATGTTTTTTTCCCCCCTTTCTAGATCTGTCTTCTTCTTCACATTCACAAGAAGTAAACTATTGCAGAAAGTTCTGGTTGCTCATTTACTTCTGGATGCTAATTCTTTTCCAGAACTTGAATTTTGCCTACACATCTGTTTTACAGATTTGGTCCATTTGTATGCAGATGGTTCCCTGTATCTCAGGTAAGATGCACTCCGACTCTGAGGGAAACACCCCTAATTAGTTGCCTTTTATGACATTCTTTTTAAGGAGACAGTGGGTTTGTTCTTTTTCCTCTAAAATGTGGTCCTCAGAAGATAATCCTAAAGTGACATGCAAGAATTCTTTTTCAAACATCTTATAACAGAGACAGTTCAAATAAAGATCCCTTTTCATGCATTTAAGGGCATCAGGCATATGGGAAGAGCACCCATATTTTTAACTCTCAATCAGCACTAGGTGGGTAATGTGGTCAGCATTATGCCAGCCGTCTTTACAACTCCAGGACATACATCCTGGTACCCATTTTAGGCTGGGTCGACCTGCGACGTCCCATACCATGATAAAAATCCACGCCAGCAGAAGGTTTTGATCGCGGTACGTTGGAATTACGAGTTGGACTCACAACCCCTAAGCCACAGACGCCGCCTCATAATAGAGATACATTTTATTAAACGATTTTTTGCTGAATAATCTTCCTCTGGTTATATCTTATATGTATTTTCAATTTGAATGTTCAGTTCAAACATATGCCAGTAACAGTTTGAGAACCATTACATACATGAAACAGAAGTTAAATGCCTTCAAAAACACATGCCTTAGGAAATTGGTGAACATCAAATCGAATGAATTCAATGAGTTGAAGAAATAAGAGAAATGTGCGGACAATCAGTTTTAAGACGAAGGAGATGCCAATATATTGGACACATATAGAGAAATGGATAAAGAATCACCAACCAAGCACTGAAATGGAAAACAAATGAACTGAAGAAATAAGGACGTCTAAAAGAAAACCTGAAATAAATACTGTTGACAGAAACCAGAGGCGCTGGACTGGATTCCGTTCATAATAATGCAGAACGAACATAATGAACTTTATAATCAAAACATACATACACACTAATGCGTGCCTACATACATACGTATAACATAAACATACATACACATAACACATACATACACACTCACACATAATGCATGCATACACAAACTCATACATACATGCATGCATAACACATTCATACATACCTATACACATACTCTATACACCCACTCTCATATATACTCATACATACAAAGTCTCTGCCAAATAAAAATGTTGACACACTTTTGTTCTGAGGCTAGTTTTCTCTCACATATCTCCGCTCTATAACTTGCTGCATTTGTCCTCTTTCAAACTGCGACAGTCCGTCTTTCACTGTCTGCCTCCAAAGAAGTCAGTCTGCAGCTGATCTCTCCCAAGTGTATGTGTCAATGTTGATATCTTTCAGGTTGCATTTGCATACATCTTCAATCTTACATTATCCTGAAAAAAATATTTCTAATAAAGTTGAATTATTACGTCAGAAGTTAAAGTAAGTACCTGGTCCATGCACATATTTCAGCAAACACAGCACACAGTCTACAGTAGCACTGGCAAACACAGCCACGTTGTCCATGCCCAGGTACACGTCAAAGACGTCCATCACAGCAGCAATGTGTCTCTGCCGGGCCTCATTGACAGCTTCACTGGTGGTATACTCTATCTTCACAGAGCGGAGAGCTCCAAACAAGGGCCTCCACCCTGACTGAAGCTGGGAACTGCAGGCTTCAACTAGTTCACAGATGCAGCAGACAATCTGAAACAGGTATATTAAAAAAAATTAAAGAAGTGTCTAATCAGACGCCAGATGTATTTCAAACCAAAAGCTCAGTGTGAGTGTGTGTGCAGGCGCGCATGTGTGTGCATATGTGTGTGTGTGTGCACACATGTGTGCATGTGTGTGTATGTATGTTGGGGGAGGGGGAGAAGGACCCACTTTACCATTTAAACATGTCATAATGAGGTATTTAGTCCTCCACAGCCAGAGTGCATCTGCCTGAAAGGTGAGGAACCAACAGTCTGCATAAACAAAATCAGATCTGTAAGATGGATAGGCACATGAAATTCAAGTTCTTGAACAAGACTAAATTCCAGAAGTGGTTGAACAACCAAAACTTTCTGCCAGAGTTTACAGCTAGTGAATGTGAAGAAGAAAAGGACGATTCTCATCTGACCTTGAATATCCTTGACATAAAAGTCCAAACAAATGTCTTCAAACATCTTACAAACAAAACCACTGACTGACTGACAGACAAATAACCAGCCAAACAGAAAAGACATATTCATCTGATCTTTTACATCCCCAACAAACAACTTCAAACCCAACAAGTCCTTACACATCCAAACCCACAAACTCATCAACACAAACAGGAAACCAACCAGCTGACCACACAGACAGGACACACTCACCTGGTCTTGTACATCCCCATCACACAGCTCCAAACACAACATGTCTTCAAACATCTTGCAAACAAACTCATTGACATGGAAGTGAGGTTTCTCCTCTCTCTGGCTCACTAGTGACACGATGAACTCATGGATGGACGAGACCGCCATCTTGGAAATCACATGATCTGAATTGCCAGTAGCCTAGATTTAGAAAGGAAAAACATACATAAACGGAAGATCGAAAGTTTAGCCCGTAAATGTCCAGAAATTTTAAATTTTGCATCAGTTTGAAGAAATTCTAATTATTTCCCATTTTAAATTTCTGGAACCTCTGATTCATCAAGGCAGTAATAAATTTGTGTATATAAAGCATATTATAGCATAGAATAAAAATGGCAGTGTGTGCTTCAGTTCGAGTGCACGAATGTGAGTTCGTAGTGGCCAGACTCTCACCTGCAGGCTCGAACGCTGTGTGTTGAAATCGGTATCGAAATGGAATTTGTTAAACATTTACGGGCAAGAAAACCCAACCAGAAGTGTTTGTTTTTTGGCTTCTCGCAGGCGAAAAGGGTTTAAAAAATAAAATAAAAACAGAACAAATCAAACATTTGCTCCAAGACCCCATTCTGAGGTGACTTATTACCGCCTCTCCTTCTTCCCCCCTCCCACCAATGCACAATTTACTCCACTGCACATTTAAAAGTATCTTGTCAGGTGGATACTATTGTATCAGGTATCTTATCAGGTGCACGCTACAGCAGATCAAGTGGTTATGGGAAAATAAGAACAACTGATGTTGCCTTGTTTCTTTTGTGTGTGTCCTTGGCAATCAAAACCGCCACCTAAACAAGTAACGCACTCTCTTCACCCAAGCGGTTGCAAATTCACAGCATCACTTGGTCTCGCAAATGTCTTACTTGTCACAGAGCATTCAAAATATCAGCATGGTCCATTGCTGGTCCGCCCCCCACAGTAGCTTTACCTGCAAGCCGATCTGCTTGCTCATTTCCTTTGATATGTGTTAACTTGACCGCTCTAGAGACTCCAACTACAGTGCTCGGACCCAGCCCTTCTCTATCTTCCTGAGCATACTCACTGAATCACTGAGAAAGTGTGCGAGGGAAAAGGTCTGTGTCCCTAGCCATGTTATTGCTTTGGTCACTGCCATGACCTCCATAGTCAGACTACTTGTCAAGGCAACAGCACCAGAATCTTGCTTCACAATTTTAACTCAAACCTGAGCCGTAAAAGCCCAAGAGTTTCTCACATGGTGAATTACAGACCCATCTGTGTATATGACAGCATCCCCCTGTAGAGAATTCTTAAAAATCAAAGCCTGCACTTCTGCATCAACAACGGCTGGACTTTCCTGTCTGTATTTTTCTCTAGTCAGATGCAAACAGAAAAGGTCATACAGCACCACTTTGATATTTGTACCCATTCCTCACCAGGTTCTATTTCCTCAAGTGAACCCACCTGCTGAATAATGTTCTTGGCCTGACCCATCCACAATTTTCTCTTTTTAACCTGCTGCCTTTTTTCCTCTTAATTTACAGTGCAGTAGGTGTCGTGTATCTGCACTGACTCTGAGGTAAGAACCTGCTCGCAAATTTGAATTCTGTCATCCATGGTTGGAAAACTGAGAAGCTAGCACATCGCCCTCCATGGTGTGTCTCTTGTACACCCAAGTATAATACGCACAGCCTCGTTCTGTAATCTTTCCATCCTCTCCACCTGCTTATGGCTGAGAGGCATGATCACCATCGCATATTCAAAGTCAGGAAAGGACCAGACCCTGATACAGAAGAAATAAATGACGCCGCTCATAATTTGATGCGGCCATAATTTTCATTGCAGCCAAACTATGCTGGGCTTTTTTTAATCATTTGATCTTTGTGCTAATTCAAAGTTAAAAGGAATATATAACAAACAAACAAACGTGTACTGATCGGCATTCACAGAAAGAAGTAGAAAGATAGATGGACACACCAGACAACCTGAAAACCAAAAGCTATAGCTACCATGCTGGCAAATTAATCTGTCACCTCCAAGTGATGACAGCACCTTGCTGCAGTTTATTTCTAATAAATCAGCATTGTAACAGTCACTGTCCTTTTCATGCAGTCATTTGTTCATATAATAAATAACACCCTCAGGTCTGTCTCTCCACTTTCTGAAGCCATAACTCTCTGAACCCTGCAATCAATATTGCTCCTACTGACTGCACAACTTCCATACACTGCACACAAATGTTTATGAATGTCCACCAGTCCTCACTAACCTGCACTAGATAGGCAGAGGCAACACTCCAGACCTTCAAGAGATGCAGCAATGGACGAGGGCTATTCACCACCTTCACTAACACCTGCTGCAGACGGTACAGATGCAGGGCATTGATTGGAGGGCGGGTAGCAGCAGCACCAGAACCACCTGCCCCAATTCCTTCTTTTGCCCCATTCAGTTTCTGCAGCTGCATCAGCATGGCTTCCCCAAGCTCGGTCAACATGCTCAGTAGGGCTTCCAAACATAGCTTGTCTGCAGCATCTTCAAAAAAGCTGGAAACAAAATTATACAGAGACCAAGGGAGGTGATTTTTATAGAAAAATAAAAATTGCATTTCACACAACAAAAACAAAAAAAACCTGAAGAAATCTTTTTCCTTTGTATTCATCCTAAAATGGCATTTGACACATTGTTTTATTATTTAAAGCTAGGGTGTAAATAGTAAAATAATGCTTTTTTTTTTTTTGTGTGCAATGGAAAGTGTAAGCAACAATTTCAGTGGTTTTATGTATGTCTCACCACTGGGCCATGGTAGGTTAGTAGTTAGATAATTACCACTTGGTCTAAAAGTCCTTGGTTCAAATATGCACTGAGGCAGATTTTATTAATTGTATTATTGCCGCAGGGGTTCCATGTCAACATAGCATCAAATGGGTACCAGGAAATGTCCATGTAGTAAATGTGGCAGGTGGGATATTGACTAATTATAAGAAGTAAAATCACACATGACATGTTGGTGTAAAATCACATATGACATGTTGGTGTAAAATCACATATGACACGTTGGTGTAAAATCACACATGACATGTTGGTGTAAAATCACACATGACGTGTTGGTGTAAAATCACACATGACGTGTTGGTGTAAAATCACACATGACATGTTGGTGTAAATTCACACATGACATGTTGGTGTAAATTCACACATGACATGTTGGTGTAAAATCACACATGGCACATTGGTGTAAAATCACACATGACATGTTGGTGTAAAATCACACATGACATGTTGGTGTAATATCACACATTACATGCTGGTGTAAAATCACATATGACATGTTGGCTGTTCTTCTTCTGCCTTCATGCCATTTTGTACTATCCTTTGCTACTGCACCCCATATCCTCCCTATTTTTTTAACCTAATTTTCTAGCTCCCTTCTCCGTGTGTTTTCTTGGTCAGCCTTTATTTTCTATGCTTCTGTGGGTTTCACTGCAAACACATTCTAGTTATATTGTTCTCAGCTTTTTTCAGCATGTCCTTTCCAAGGCTTGCATCTCTTCTTCACCAGGTGGAATTCAACTTAATTGTTTACTTCCCTCCCAAAAGTGGACATTAGTGATCCTACCATGCCTTTAGTTCCCTTTCTATTCTACAGAAAGCATCAGTTAATGTTTGTAGTTTATTTAGTAATAGTTTTAATTGTACTCTAAGTTGGTTGGTACATATAAAGTATAGCCAATCACACCTGCGGCACTGCTCGGGACAAAATAAATTACTAAATAATAAATTAAATTTGAACAATTTAAAAAAAAAAACATTCTATAATGAATAACACAGCTAAAAAATAACAAAGAAAAAGTAAATGATCGCTTTCCATGAATCAGGTGTGATGGGCACATAGGGCTAGCCCTATATTTTATAGACAAAACAGAACTGGGTGGGTAATGTGGTCAACATCTTTACTTTCCGGGACTTCACCTGGAACACATTTATTTGCATGTCCTAGCAGATAAGTTCATTTAAAAAAAGAAAAGAAAAATAACAAATAACTGCTAATAAATAACAACACAGGTGATAAACAACAGAGTTGAGGAAACACAAAGCTAACGAATAAGATATAAATTACCACAAAGGCTAAGAATAACTAATTAACAACACTTAAAGTGTTAAAAGAGTTCTAAAAGTTAATTAACAGAATTAACATAAAACAGAATTACCTGTCTACTTCCTGAGAAAGTCCACACAAAACTTTAGAAGCTTGTGCAAATGTTAATACCCCTCCAGCAGCTAATGAGTTATCCCAGCCGGATTCTAATCCACTTTGCTGGATAAGAGTTGGTACATTTATTCTTGGGGTTACTGGTACAGCAGCGGCCACCAATGAAGTTGTGTACAGATCTGTATTACAATTTCTGTGGAGAATCAAAACAAACATCATCATGTAGCAGGTCCTTTACAGAACATCGCTCATATCACAACCTGCCTGAAGGAAACAGGCCCCTGTCAACTACCATGCCTCAGGTACTTTTCTGCCTATGGCCTCTCCTGTGGCTTGTGCCGACCTTCATGCTGGCTGGCATCCACTTTTCTTTCCAGGCACCATGCCCTTTCCCTCAAATTTCTTTAGTTTCTGAGCTAGTTTTCTTCAATGTTCACATTTTTTTTTGGTCCACGGTATTCTAAGAATTTTTTTTCCATGCCACACTGATTACAGTGGTTTTTCTTTCTCTCATGACACTTTCATAAAAATAAAAATGATTACTTGGTCTGTTTTTCAATATTCAGCCACACTGAGTGCCAACTTTTACATCATTCTGTCCAAGAAATCCTACACAATGCTCTAAACATTGTAAACACTATGAGGATAAAACTATGTAGAAGATGGCTGGCACATTTATATGTGAGACTGAGGTACATACCCATCAGCCTCAGTTCCGTCCAGGTCCTGACCTGATTCCATCTGTGACCCAGACATGATCTTCGGCAGGCTAGACTGGTTGTTGCCCTGGCTAAAGTAGATGTGCTCCAGCTCCGAGATGTGTGCACAACATCTGAGGATATACATACATACATACACATACTCACAAAGAGTTTGGTAAACTTATGCTCTGTTGACAGCTCATATCTAGCAGAAGATGAATATGCTAAAGAAAATATCATCATCCCGTAACCCTGCATGTCACTGGGTCACCTGTTGATAGTTGACTGTCAGATCAGCTCCCTCCACCTTTGCCCGTTGGATGCGATAGACGATGGCTGCATGCCTAAGGCCTATCCAGTCAGTCAGGTTCTGTATCCAGGTATTTCTTGGCCTGCCACTTTTCCTCTTCCCCTCCACTGAGCCCTGCATTATTATTTTTTAGAGGCTGTCAGATATTATTACATGTCCAAACCATTGTATTTTCCGCTTTTTCACTGTAGTTAAAAAAAAGTTTATAATTGCCAATGGAAATAGATATACCTACTGACATCTGTGAATGTACAAATATGGGAAGAAGCAGGAGGAAGAGAAAGAGTAAGATGAGGCAGCAGGAAAAAAAAAGAGCCATGATTATTAATATTCTGATTATTATACCAGGAATAAACTCTAATGAATTACAGACAGATGCCAGATTTCTATAACAAATACCATATTCCTCTCACAGATACAAGATTTCTCTAATGGATGTCAGGGTTCTCTAATGGATACCAAACTTCTCTCAAAGATACCAGATTTCTCTAATGGATGCCAGATTTCTCTAATGGATACCTTATTTCTCTCTCAGATACCAGATTTCTCTAATACATGCCAGATTTCTCTAATGGATACCGGATTTCTATAATGGATACCAGAATTCTCTAATGGATACCATATTTCTCTAATGGATGCCAGATTTCTCTAATGGATATCACATTTCTCAATGAATACCAGATTTCCTAAATGGTTACAGGATTTCTCTAATGAACACCAGATTTCTCTAATGAATACCAGATTTTGTTAACGCAACCAGATTTCTCAAACAGATACCAGATTTCTGTAATGGATAAAAGATTTCTCAAACAGATACCAGATTTTTAAAATAGATATCAGATGCTTCTAACTGTCTAAAATGTCTCTAACAGATACCAGATTTCTACAATAGGTATCAAGATCCTCTACTTGATGTTCAATTTCTCTAACAGATATCAGATTTCTCAAAAGAAGAGCAGTATACGGAGGAAGAAAGAAAAAAAAGAGGGAAAAAAAAGAACACAAAAGAACAAGAAAATCACCTGAACACATGTTTCCAGCAGTCGGCAGCATGGCTGCCAATCTCCAGCCCGGTTGTCATGACAACATCCATACTCAACAGGTGTGCTGCATGAAGTTTCACGAGCTTCGGCTTATTGCTTGACAGAACCGATGTCTTGCTTTGACCTTTACTTTCTGTGGCTGCTACAGCTCTGAAGTCCTCCTTTACACAAGAAGTCCTTGCCAGCTGTGAGAAAGCACTGCCACAGAGCTGCTGCAGACCTGCGAGCAAACAAAGAAAGTAAAAGACCCATTTTTACATCTTGAATTTTGAACCTTCAACAACGGATCAACATCATGGCACACAGGTAGTAACCCATAAGTGCTCCGTTCTACTTCTAACTCAAGTCTGAGTCCGAAGTAGCTCAATGCAGTGCACTGACTTTGTAGCACCGCCAAGGATCCTGATATATTTTAGGTAGATTTTAAACCCCAAATTTTGCCCGGGCAGTGCCATTAGGCTACTCTTTTAAAAATCCAACTGCCAAGGAATTTTTTACGTGCGCAACAACACACACCAGCATTCGATCTCGCTGCCTAGAGACCAGGGGAAATTACTAGAAGTCTTAGTGAAAAAAATCCCAGCCCTCACCGGGGCCTAAAACTGGGACCTCTAGCACACGAGGCAGACACCAGATCTCGAGACCACGCAGCTCCCCCTTTTTGTCTTGATAAAACGTAAAGGACCTTTTTTCATGCCATGGTGGATCAGGCATATATTTTTAAAGACGGAATGCAACTTGGTGGGTAGACTTGGCAGTCAAGGTCCATTTTGAAGAAGAAAAAACATCTGCCATGTGCGGATTTGAACTCAAGACTTTTGGGCCGGCAGGTGAGCCTCCAGGCACTAGGATACTTCAGCTCTCATGCCTTGATATTTAGTTAGTTAGTTAGTTAGTTAGTTAGTTAGTTAGTTAGTTAGTTAGTTAGTTAGTTAGTTAGTTAGTTAGTTAGTTAGTTAGTTAGTTGACAGATTATCTTCATTGCACGTCGAACCACTCAGTCCATAAGTGGTAGGACCACCTCATCAGTAAATCCCGCAGCGTGAAGCGGCTAATGACACCAGTTCTGTGTTGGTTTATTATTCTTCTTTGGCAACACCCCGTTCAACTTGCTGTTCTTGCTGTCTGACAATGGTTGCAGATTCACAGTTCTCAATTGGTTTACGTAAACATCTTAAATCCCGTAGAGCATTCAGTAAATCAGCCTTGATATGCAGTTATTAACTCTTTGAGTCCCAGGGGGTTTAGCATCACAGGCCCAGGGGGTAGTAAAGAAAGTAATAAAATCGGCGCATCATGCGTTCATTGGGCTTCTAAGTAGGAACCTATGAACGTATGATGCGTTCCTTGGGACTCAAAAAGTTAAATGAGAAAATAAAGGTTTCTGAGACAAAATTCTACAGAAAGATTCTTAGAATACCATGGGCGACTCCCCGTGTGGGTTCCAGGGCCCTACTGTGGGATGGGTGGGGGTGTAACAGACCCACTGCCTCTAATGAGTATGTTGAAAGAGTTGACTAATTACAGATGTTTCCTTTAAAATCAAAGTGCATCGCCTGCTGGGTGAGGAACCAAAAGTCTGCATACAAATAGGTCAGCTCTGTAAAACTGATGTGCATGCAAAACTCAGGTTCTGGAACAAGACTGAAGTCCAGAAGTGGACGCACAATCAGAACTTTCCACCGGAGTTTACAGCCAGTTAATGTGAAGAAGAGGAATAACACCATGGGCCAAGAAGAAAGAAATAGTGACATCCTAAAAGATTTGAACATCAAGGAAGATTGGCTAATAAACAGCACTGTGTCTGACAAACTGAAATATTATAACTGTATCAAATGCTACAGTGGGCTGGACAGAATATTGTGGAAGGCAAGGTACCAGGAAAGAGGGGACCAGCATGGAGATGGGTACAGGATATCAAACACCTAGGGTAGAAAAGTGCTTGAGGTGGGAGAGTTGGTGAGACATGGCTTTCTTTCAGGTAAGATGAGATGACAGTGACGTTCTGCAAAGGACCTGCTACATGATGTTTACAAAAAATAATAACCCACTTACTTGGGTTACTTTGTTATCAAGGGGTGCCCCTATATAATAACTGTTTGATATGACTAGATGGGTTTTCTGTGATTTGCCTTTGTTGGGATTTATATCAGAATGGTGGCTCTCTGAGTCACTAGGTTCTCCGTGTGGGTTCCAGGGCCAATTTAGGGGTAGGGGCAGGGTAGGAGGGGATAGCCCCATTGTCTACAGCAAGCATCTTATAAAAGATGATTAATCAGAGGTTCCTGAAATCTTATGTGCTGAGCCGAAAGGTGCAGATAATACAGCCTAGCTGTAAACCACAAGACAACATGTCAACTGTTATTTTGAGGGCAAATCAAGAAATCACTAATGTTAACCATTCACTGGGGGTGGGAAAAAAAGGGTGGGGGGGGGGGGGATTTAAAAATAAAAATTTGTGTTAGTTCAATCAGCACTCAATGTGGGCCTGGAAATGCTGATTCAGCTAGCAGTCAGTAGAGGGTCAGGAATGTTTTCAACATGCAGGGGAGAACAGGCAGACTTTTGATGAGGTTGGAACCAGTACCATCAGCATAGGTACTGAGGGCACAGCGAATGAAACAGACACCTATTTAAAAGAAACTAAACTAGATACATCTATGAAATAAACGATGAACAGCGTCAAGTGAAATATTTCTTACCCATATAAGGCATAACACTCTTACCAAGATCAGTTCCAGCTGACTGGCCATGCTGCTGACGTCATTAAAGTAGGTTAACGATACCCTAACTTAGTGTTTCTCAAACTGTTTTCGTCGTGAAATTTTTTGTGCGGCACACCTACCCTTAAAGTGGTTTGAATAATTAAGAGAAGAAGAAAAAAAAAACAGTGCAAATTTAATGTCAATCAGATTTTGAAAAAAATTCTTGATTATTGCCGCGACACCCTTGACATACGCTTGCAGCACCGCTGGATGCAGCGGCACCCAGTTTGAGAATCACTGCATCAACATATCGTTAGCCCGCTTTGGTGACATCCGCAGCATGGCCCGTCAGCTGGAGCCAGTCTTGCTCTTACGAAGGTTATAACTGACAGAAAATGTGAAGGCAGACAAGCAGGAAATGGGCAATGATACTTGTTCTTCTGCATTCGCTTTTAAAAGATGGGCTTTGGGGGGAGGGGGTGTTTTGGGTGTGCTTTACAGATAGATTGTGATATCTGTATCTTTTCGCAAATCCTACAATATGCTTGTTAGTGGGCAGTGAGCCTATTGCCCCCCGCCCCTTCCCCCCATGAAATGAGACCCTGGAGCCCACACAGGAAGGAACTGATGCAAGTCAGAAGATAACATCAGCTGATGAACAACCAGCAGGTAAGAGACAGACTGCTGGAGATCCTTCTTCTTCTTCTTCCTGTTCACTGACTGTAATCTCCAGCAGAAAGTTCTGGTTATTCATCCACTTCTGGACTCTAGCCCTGTTCCAGAACCTGAGCACTGCATGCACATCCATTTCACAGATTTGACTCATTCGTGTGCAGACTGTTGGTTCCTTGCATCTCAAGTAGTTGCACTCTGATTCTGAAGGACGCTCCCAATCAATCAACTCTTACAACATGCTTTTGGGTATACAGTGGGTCATATCCAATGCAAACAACCTTCAGTGTGGAGATGGTTCATCACTGACTGACACCAGGTAACAACTATCAACTCACCCAGTGCACAGCACAGCTTCGCTGCTTTCTGGAACCCATCCAAACTGGCACAGATAGCACTTCTAGCTCTCCGCACATCCTCCTGGGCACTGTCGGTGGCTAGCAGCAGCGACAGGCTGTACAAGGCCATGCCACCAGACCCAGTGATGGGAAGTTGGTCGTTCAACATAACAGAGAGAATGTCCAACATCTGGGACCAACAGGCAGACAAAACACTTGCAGCCAGACATTTACCTGAGACAGAACCAGCAATATTAATGAAATGTTTGAGCAAAGATGACCCAAAAAAAAATAACAGATTCTTCTTCTGTAGCATCCTGAGCCCTAAAGGTTCATTGCTGCCCTAAACCACCCACTTCAATTCATCTCTCTGATCAGCCTTCTCTTTCACACTGATCACTTGTAGTTTTGTATGTCACTGTGTGTAACCCATCGTCTTGGCCTGCCTCACAGTCGTACTGCCTCATAGCATACGCAATCTTTGTCTCTCTATTATCTGGTATTCTCTCTGTATATTCCAACCACCAAAGTCTATTAGCCCTCATGATGCCAGTAATAAGTGGTGATTCAAACTAATTATGAATTTTGTTGTTGCTTCTCACTCATCATTCTTTACTACTTGCATCTTAAATGAGTTACAAAAACAAACAAACAAACAAATTCTGTATTAGTAATAATGCTAAACACAAATGTTGACAACAAGGGTCCTGAAATCCCATGCTATAACTGTGGAAGACTTTTCTTAAGATTGGCAGGTCTTGCTAGTCACACTCGCCGTCGCCATGGGCTGTGAGTCCCATGCCTCTTTATAGTGCCATATAACAAAGACGGAAAGGTGCCAATTAATAATGCATGGCTGAAAACTATGACAGTTAGAAAAAAGTGAGGCAAATGTTGAACATAAAATGGGATGAATTCAAGAAGGATGAAGAAATAAGAGACATGTTTGGGTAACTTCTGGTAACAACAGATATAAGACAAATAAGATGGTGCTATTCTGTATACATCTGAGAAGGAATTAGCAGGGAATCACCAATCAGCTCTTTTAAACTTACCTGAACTCTCTGCCTGATCCATTCTAAAATAACAACCAGGTAATGTTCTGGGAAGCAAAGGCGGCCATGCGATATCAATGACATCACCTATCTAGCGGCATCTATCTATTAAAATATAGGCCTAGCTTTGTGTGATCAATACACCTAAAGGCTGGAAATGAGTCTACTTAATGTATTTTAAAACTTCTTCTAATAAAACTAATGTATAACAAAAAAGCTACCCACATGATCGACAAAGTACAATGGAAAAGATATGCAGCAAAATAAACACTTCTCACCAACTTCAGCTCTACGTATTCGATCGCACTCATCTCCATCAGCAGATCCTGGCAACTCTCTGAAATCAGACATGAGGCGACCCTTTTCCTCAGTAGTTCCAACACCTTCCAAGTCTACAACAGGACACGATAAGATTGGTGAAAACTGGTCAATGTGTTCATATGTTAATGTTAACAAATATTACTGCTGAAAAGTGTTTTTAACATCAAATCTGAAAACTAAAGTTCTGAGCAATGTGGATGTTGGAAAAATGTCATTTTGCATGTAATTTCAAACAGTATCAATGCAGTAAATTTCAAAGTTTTACATCAATTCAGAAATCTGCAAACACTGAACAATGCTGATGTAGAAAAGTGTCACTGTTGAACTAATGCTGTTGTAGAAAAGTGCCAATGCTGAACAAATACAGATGCTGAAAACTTTCAATACTAAACAATACTGATGTAGAAAAGTGTCAATACTGAACTAATGCTGATGTAGAAAAGTGTCAATACTGAACTAATGCTGATGTAGAAAAGTGTCAATACTGAACTAATGCTGATGTAGAGAAGTGTCAATACTGAACTAATGCTGATGTAGAAGTGTCAATACTGAACTAATGCCGATGTAGAAAAGTGTCAATACTGAACTAATGCTGATGTGGAAAAGTGTCAATACTGAACTAATGCTGATGTAGAAAAGTGTCAATACCGAACTAATGCTGATGTAGAAAAGTGTCAATACTGAACTAATGCTAATGTAGAAAAGTGTCAATACTGAACTAATGCTGATGCAGAAAAGTGTCAATACTGAACTAATGCTGATGTAGAAAAGTGGCAATGCTGAACTAATGTTGTTGTAGAAAAGTGTCAATGCTGAACTAATGTTGTTGCAGACAAGTGTCAATGATGAACTAAAGCTGATGCTGAAAATTGTCAATACTAAACAATGACAACGTTGAAAAATGTCAATGCTGACCAAAGCTGATGTAGAAAAGTGTCAATACTGAACTAATGATGATGTGGAAAAGTGTCAATACCGAACTAATGCTGATGTAGAAAAGTGTCAATACTGAACTAATGCTGATGTAGAAAAGTGTCAATACTGAACTAATGCTGATGCAGAAAAGTGTCAATACTGAACTAATGCTGATGTAGAAAAGTGGCAATGCTGAACTAATGTTGTTGTAGAAAAGTGTCAATGCTGAACTAATGTTGTTGCATGTCAATGCTGAACTAAAGCTGATGCTGAAAATTGTCAATACTAAACAATGACAACGTTGAAAAATGTCAATGAAGCTGATGTAGAAAAGTGTCAATACTGAACTAATGCTGATGTAGAAAAGTGTCAATACTGAACTAATGCTGATGTAGAAAAGTGTCAATACTGAACTAATGCTGATGTAGAAAAGTGTCAATACTAAACTAATGCTGATGTAGAAAAGTGTCAATGCTGAACTAATGTTGTTGCAGACAAGTGTCAATGCTGAACTAATGCTGATGCTGAAAATTGTCAATACTAAACAATGACAACATTGAAAAATGTCAATACTGACCAAAGCTGATGTAGAAAAGTGTCAATACTGAATTAATGCTGATGTAGAAAAGTGTCAATACTCAACTTAAGCTGATGTAGAAAACTGTCAACACTGAACTAATGCTGAATAATGTCAATACTGAACTAATACTAAAGCTGAACAATGTCAACACTGAACTAATGCTGATGCTGAAAATTGTCAATACTGATCTAATGATGTTGTAGAAAAATGTCAATACTGAGCAATGCTGTTGTCTGACAATCAATATGAAAAGAATTTGTAAAATACAGAAATATATAGAAAAATTTTTTTAAACTCTTCGAGTCCCAGGGAACGCATCATACGTTCATAGGTTCGTACTTAGAAGCCCAGTGAACGCATGATGCGTCGATTTTAGTCTCTCTTGACTACCCATTTGGCCTGGAAAGCTAAATCCCTTGGGACTCAAAGAGTTAAACAAAAACAGCCCTACCACTACGATGACTAGATATGTATCATGGTATTTAAATATTTATCACATGAGCTAACCTTGCAAGAAGTTAATCAAATGGCTGGAACTCTTGTAGATCCTGCAGGCTGTGGAGGAGGCAGCCACAACTTCAGCACTGAGAATGCTGGTATTCAAGATCTGTGAGTACAGCTCCTTCAGCCACGCTGGGGGTAAGTACAACAGCAATCCTGAACTGAACATCTCGTTGAGGAAGTCACTCTGGCATAAAGAATACAACATTAAAAATTTTTTACAGACTTAAAGTAAAGTGGATTTACTTAAACGCACCCGTTTTTTCCCCCAAAGGACCTGGCTTTCTCCTGCCGAACCACAAGATGTTAAGAGTGCTACAGTAAGTATAATCCCAATCCCCTGTAACAATCTCCTGGAATCTCTAAAAAAATTACAACTCAACTTAATGTCACAACCTTTGCAGTACAAGACAAATGGCTTAACAATCTAGCCATGGGGGAGCGGCTGTGGTGAAGCGGCTAAACGCTCACCTGCAGATTGGAGGGTGGTGGGTTCAGGTTCTGATGGAGCCTGATTGTTTTTGTTCAAAGATATTCTACAAAACGGGTTGAACCAGTTATATCACAATTTACTGTGAGAGATGGGATATGAAATGAAGTGAACCACAATTATATTGCACTTTACAATGAGGGATGGGATGTAAAATAAAGAGAACCAAAGTTCTATTGCACTTCAGAATGAGGGATGGGATGTGAAATAAAGAGAACCACAGTTATATTGCACTTCACAATGAGAGATGGGATATGAAATGAAGTGAACCACAATTATATTGCACTTCACAATGAGGGATGGGATGTGAAATAAAGAGAATCACAGTTATATCCGACTTTAATGTTAGGGATTGGATATAAAATGAAGTGAACCATGGTTATATTAAACTTTACTGTGATGGATAAGAGATTAAATAAATTGATACTTTACTATAAGGGATGGAATATGAAATAAACAGAACTTACATTATACTGTATTTTAATTTGAGGGATGAAATATAAAATAGGTTGAACTGCAGTCATATCACAATTTACTGTGAGAGATGGGATATGAAATGAAGTGAACAAATTGCACTTTAGTTGAGGGATGGGAAATAAAATGATACTTTATTGTGATAGAAATGAGATGTGAAATGATGGGAGCAATGAGAGTGCATGAGTTAGTGCAAGCAGTACACTATGTTCATCCTTGCTGGGAGGTAAGTATTTAAACTCTAAAGGGAGAAGACAGGTAGTAAAATTATTCACTTCAATCATATTACTCTTTACTCTGCTAGACAAATTATCTTCCTCTCCCATGTCCCATGACCTGTGACTCAGTCTCCACAGTATTTACAGAATTATGTGTATATTCTTTATTCTCACCAGCTGTAAACTTCGGCGGTAAGTTCTGGTTCTTCGTCTGCTTCTCGACTTTAGTCTTATTCCAGAACTTGAGTGTTTTACAGTTCTGGCTTATTTGTATGAAGACTGCTGGCTACTTGCCTCTCATCTAGATATGCCCAGACTTTGAAGGACGCTCCCAATTAGTTGACTCTTTTGACATGCTTTTTTTTTGGGGGGGGGGGGGGGGGGGGAGGCAGTGGATCTACTTTTGTTGTCTCCACAGTGAGGCCTGGAAGCCATATAGGGAATTTTTATATTCAGTCTGCACTGCTTTTTACAACCTATGGCATGGCAGAATATGCTCCGTTACTCATTTTCCTAGCTGCTGACTGACCTGTTCTGCCAGTATGTGCAGCTTCCAATCAACATTGAAATCAGTAAATACACCTGATTTGGCAAAATCACATTACACAACTCAGATTACAGTTTCTTAAAATGTGTGTTTTATATGTAAGGAAAACATGAACAAAAAGAATCAAGTTTCACCTCAGACACCGGAATATTCTGTCGATTGCCATAGTAGCCTGAGATAAGAAGTCGCAGGTTCAGTTTGAGAGCCGTGATTGCTGCAACATAGATACCATCTGAGTTCAGCACAACACCTGAGATGGACATATCTGACTGAGACTCTGGGCTGTTCTGAGGAAGACCTGAAAATTGTGAGGAGAATATGCATTTTAAAATCTAGGATAGGGAGTGTGCCTTATGTGGAATGTTTTGTACTAATAACTGAATCACATTAATCCTGTTACCCCACAAATGCTGTTATCTAGGCTGGTCAGATTTTCTGATGTCATGATGTCACTGAAATGTGAAAAAATATTGGTGACAAGCGGGAACAAAAAAGCATTTGAAATACTTACACACTCAACAGAATCTACTAGAACAACAACCTGTCTGAAAATGTAAGAATTGCCTTGAAAAACACTTTTATATTCAACACACTTTACTAGAAGAAAATCTTACCTTTATATAAAAAAACTGTGAAAAACACTTCTACATTCAATATATGCTTATTACAATATCTTACAGTTAGACAGAAGAAGTTCCCTGAAAAACACACCTACCTATACTCAAGAAAATCGTGCAGAAAGATAAAAGAAGTAGCTTTTAAAACAATTCGCTGTTCCAGATACCATACTAGAAAAAATCTTCCTGTCAGATACAGAAGTACCTTGAAAACACATCTACATTCAACAACATCTTACAACACAAGAAATGCTTTGATAAACACCTCTAAATTCAACACACTTTACTAGATCAAAATCTTTTTGATGTATATAAAAAGCATACAGAAAAACACCTATATTTTCAACATACCCTTAATAGAAGAAACTCTTGCTCTTGGTGCCTTTAAAACATCTCTACACTTAAGGAAATTTATTCAAAGTAAATTATTGTGTCATATTCAAAAAGTACCTAGTAAAATACCTCTATATTCAACAAACCCTTAACAGAACGAAATCCTTTTGCCATATACACACAGTAAATACATAGAAAAAAAAAATCTCTAACACCGATTTCTTTGATCTTTTCAAACCATTGTAAACAGGTAGAAGGAAATTTTAGAGTAAATATGTTAAAGTTCAAATTCAGTTTTTTTTTATTCAGAGGCATATCTTCATAATAAATGATGCTCTATCCAGACCAAGCGGCAGTTTTGTTCATTTCTCTGGGGTCATGAAAATCACAATATAAATTACCCACGTCCTGGTGGAAGTGCTGGTACAGTAAAACAGTAACCTTCTGCATAGTTATAAATTTGCACCTGAAACTCATTATGAAATTGATATTTATATCAGTTTTAAAAGCTAACTTAATACACAATAACTCAACACTAATTTGTAGATACAACTTTAACTGAACAACCTTGAATGACGTCTTATTCTGGGTTCCGTTCACTAACAGAATGACTTGCACAAGAAAATTTTGGAAACTACATAGTTTTTCCTTGACCCCTTGTTGAACCCGTTTTAGTGAGCATTACTTCCTGAAACTAAGGAAAGTAAACCTTCCAAAACTCTACCAAGACAATTTCATGATTTTTTTTTTTAAATCACAAAGAAGGAAAAAAATTCTAAATTTGATATTCTTCATCAAAAATATTTCCTTAACATCTTGGATGTCTGGAGTAAACGTAGCAAATTTCATTACAACTGATCCATCTGTTTCCAAAATATTAAAATCTATTCATGAATTTCTGAAAGGACTATAAAAAAAATATTCCTGCCATAAAAAAAAAAAAAATGGGACTGTCTTCCCAATGGAGGTTGTCTGCAGGGCAACCGCTGCTGTCTTTGGGAATATTACACGGTAAAAACTGAAAAATTATATTTCTAACCTATAAGTCACAGAGCCCCATATACAAAAGAGTACCTTGAAAACAACTTTATAATCAACACATCTTGTTAAAACAAAATCTTCCTGCTATACACACACATACACACACAAATTATTTTTTTTAAACCAACGCAGACAGTTAGTATTTTTCTGGATATGTTATGAGAAAAACATAACTTAAGAACTTGATAACAACTGGTAAGATTGATAAAAAGAGAGCATGGGGAAAGACAAAGAGATAAACCCCTGCATAGTTTAGTGATATGGATGGGACAAAACAAGAACACTGGCCTGATCCATGATTCTTGTAACCGTGCGAGAAGGTTAAACACTTATCGACATGGCACATGATAATGATAATATACCCTTAAAAAAATTAACAAGATAAACAACTGTACATTTAACAAATTCTTACTAGAACAAAATCTGAAAACTTCTTAGAATACCATAGACCCAAAAAAAGAAGAAAAACACTGACATCTTAAAGGATCTGAGCATGTAAGAGAACTGTCTCATAAACAGCATCCTTTCCCAAAAGCTGGGGTTTTTTGCCATTTCGAAAGTCATGGTGGCTTGAAGGGAACAGTGAGGGAGGGTAATATTTCTGGAAAACGAGGCAGAGGCAGACCACCATGAAAGTGGACACAAGATACTGAAGATACACAGGCTATGTAACCACACACGGCTGGAGAATTGGTCAAACAAAGACTTTCAGGTGTGCCATGATGAGAGCAACATTCTATAAGGGATCTCCTGACTGGTGATAATAGAAAGTTCACTATATTTAAAATGTTGTTTTGCTGCTGCCCTTTTATTCCACAACGAAGCATATTCCCTCAACTAACTTAGGCCAAGTCACTGAATCCTTTGCCATTTAGTGCAGAAAAGAGAGACAGACAAAGTGACAGAAACCCAGTCAAGGAGGCACAAAGGGTAGAAAGTGAAACAAAGAATGTGAATGGGGTGTTTGAGAAATCACTGGAAATCAAACACATGTCAACTTAAAAGTGATATAGAAATATAACCTTATGTGGACCTTTAGTCATGTCTTGGTCAGTTATCAGTGAGCTACCTTATAACAGTAGTCAGTACTACTTGTTCTCTGTTAGCCTGGTCAGAAATGACTGAGCTACCTTATAACAGTAGTCAGTACTACTTGTTCTCTGTTAGCCTGGTCAGAAATGACTGAGCTACCTTATAACAGTAGTCAGTACTACTTGTTCTCTGTTAGCCTGGTCAGAAATGACTGAGCTACCTTATAACAGTAGTCGGTACTAACTGTTCTCTATTAATATTGAATATTGAGCAGCATATGGCAAACACAAACCTGTTGAAAAGCAAAAGTGATGTAACACTTTATGCAATGGCTTCAGGCAAAAGAGGGTGTTAGAGAGGAATTATCAGATTGGGAAACCATCCCATCTGTTGCTCTTAAATGAACTGTGTGATTGGTTGCAGTCCTAGTATAATTTCTTCATTATTATTGTATACCTTTTTGTTACTCTTGTGCCTTTTTTAAGAGATCTCTTCTCTATTGTTATGATTTTGCACTCTTTTTTTGTAGCAGGGGTCTTGTTTGACATTTCTAAGCAATACAACATAAAAATATTGTATAAAAATATTATTTTAAATAAATAAATTTAAATACTTACCTTGTGAATCATCATAAAGGTCACATGTTAGGTCACTGCCTCCATCATCATCTGGGTTAGAAGTCATACTTCTTCTTGTATGTGTTCTTGATCCTTAAATTGAAAAAAAATTTTTTAAAGCAAAAGAATTACACTTTCGGTTACTGGAAATTCTGTAAATATGATAAAAACTAGCAAATAATTTTGTATATACCCTAGTAGAACAGAGAAATTAGCCTACTGTTAGACAATATTAGAAAAAAGATGTAAAGCTTCACCCAGTCGGCAACAAGTAATAATAATAATAATGCCCTGGTGGTATCTTCCAGAGATGGCCGCATGAATTTAGCACAAAAGCTGGGCATTTTTGTAGAAATCATGTGTTGCTCATGCAGCATAACCCATCTATCTGCTTTGTTAATTTAAATGGAAAGGTAACATTACTACATTTGGGGTTGGGGGGGGGGGTGGATGAGGGAATGTGCCTTAAGACTTGAGTCTGCAGGGCCAGTGCAGTCACCAAGGACAGTGCAGGTAAGGATTTGTTTTTAATTTTTGGCCCCCACATAAAACATCTCCATCTCTTTCCAAGGAATGAACCCGGGTATCTCACAAAGTAGCTCTGCATTCTTACCATTCAGCCAGCTCTTCCTCTTTGACTAAACTTCTGTAAAATGTATGCATCAAGAAACACTAACCTTTGACAGGTTTCAACATGTTGTCTGGAATGGCCTCCCCTAATCTGATGCGGTCAAGTGAAGCCAGCAGACTACCAATACAGGAAACACAGGTGTACACGATTGCTGCATCATTGACATGGCTGCTCTGCTGAATGGAATCTATCAACCTGAGAAGAAAATGAAGGATTATTAGTGGCAGCAGCAGTGGTGGCTTAGGCAAAGTCACTACGCACTATCAGCACTCCCTACTTTCAATATATTAAGTCTTTTTTTTATAAATACTGTACATTATAACATATAATCCCTAAGCCTTACTATCAGCAGCCATCATTGGTTCATGAAATTAAAAATGTTCCCTTTTTTTTTTTTTTTTTAAACGAAAATCCTTTTACAGAACTGTACATTTCTCAGTGGGAGTCACCGTGGCCGAGCAGCTAGACGCTCGTCGCGGATCGGAAGGTCGTGGGTTCGCTCCCTGACAGGACTTTTTTCAAAAATGACCTTGGCTCCTAGGTCGACCCAGCCTTGAGTGGTTTCCGGGTGCAGTCCCAGGAAAGTAAAGGTGGCCGGCGTGATGCTGACCCCATCACCCATCTTGTGCCGATTGGTCTATAAAAATATAGGTCTAGCCCTATATGCCCTATACACCTGATGGCATGGAAAAGGGTCCTTTACTTTTTTTAAATTACATTTCTCAGTGCCAGCAACACAGTGTTTGGATGTGGTGCACATAAATTCATGTCAGAAACAAGAAGCTGTACCTAAGGTGGGGTGGGGTCTCGGGCAATGTCACAAATGCACTGCAGACCAACCCTTTTTTTTTTATTAATCTTTTCTTCTCCTACTTAGTCGCTCCTCTTCTACCTTTGAAGTGTAGAGGATTACCAGAGAGATCGCTAGACTTTTCTGTCAGCAGTTTTCTTTGTGGCTTTGTTGCATTCCAGTCCTCTGTCAGCAGGGACTACTGTCCGATGTTGTCTCCCAGCAAACCTTGGGTGATTCTGGTGGTCTGGTTCCCTGGTTTTTGGCCTCCCATGCCTGCCGTGGTGGCTGGTTCTCTTCCACTGCATAAATTTCCAAATCCCCGTAACTGTGACTGATCCACTTGAGTTTGTAAGGTCTGGGTTTCAAGGTCATGGCATATTGTCTGACTGCAAACTTTGTCCATTCTTGTCATTTTCACCACCTTTTTCAGATAACTAATTTCTGTGGCCTAAAGCTGGCTTCTGTGAGATGTTACACTGCCAGTGACTCGCATCCATATGTCAGTACTGACACATAGGTAGAGCGGTATACAGCCATTCCCCCCCCCCCCCTTTTGCTAATTTCTCTTTTGCTGAGAAAACCCCGGTTTATCTGACTTGTACATAAGATTTGGAAAGTGGGGGGGGGGGGGGGGGGGGGGGGGGGGGGTATGGCAATGTGGTAAACGCAGTACAGAACAACCCTGTTTTATTGTTTTATTAATCTTTTCATGCAAAATGAAACAAGAAAGAATTTCTTTGCTCAGGATTTTTATCAAGCTTATGTATACATTTTCTTGTCCTGTTTGTTTCATTTTATAAAGTATTAACTCTTGCAGTTTCATGTAATTCTCAATTCAATGCTGCCTATCCTAAAGTTGTATACCTTAAAGCAACAACTATTTAGACTGTGGAACTGAAAAATTAATTTTTGCAATGGAATGAGTTTAAGCAACAGGTGAGACAGAAAGAGTTAACATAACGGAAGAATGGGACAGACAGAATAAAATAAATGTGCACCATGTAAAGTGTAACCAATGAATGTATGGTGAGTTCTCTGCTACCGAAAGAGTTAAAACACTAACATTTTGTGAAGCAGCACTCCCACTAATTTTAGGTATAAGCCGTCACTGTGTCAACAGATAGTTCTAATTAAACATTGGTTATTTATTTGAGAGTGATGGTAGCCTAGTGGCTAGGTACCGGCCTTCTAGTTTGAAGGTCCAGAGTTCAAATCCACACAGACATATTTTTTTTTCTCTCCAAAACTGACAGTGGCTCTCAGGTCAAACCAGCATAAAATGTTACGAGTTAATGTCCTGGGAAGTAAAGGTGGTCACCAATGCTGACTTCTTCTTCTTCTTCTTCACTTCCACTTTTACCGCTGTGGGTGTCGAGGGAGATATAAGGTTCTGTTTCTAGCTCTTCTGGCTGCCTCGACCATAGGCACATCGTGCTGTTGTAGAGTTTCTCTGATGTTATCCTTCCATCTTGTTCTTGGTCTACCCTGTGCTCTACGTCCTTCTTCTCTTTCCATGTATGCTTTGTATGGTATGGTGTCACAAGGCATTCTCTCTAAGTGGGCAAACCATTTCACTTGCTGTCTTTGTATGTAATCCAGAATTGGTTCTGTGCCGACTTGTTCTCTTATGATCTTATTCCTGATCTTACCTCTTATGGTCACTTCTACAGCCCTTCTCAGACATCTCATTTCCGTGGTTACTAATTTTCTTTTATGGTTTGTTGTGAGTGACCATGTCTGGCACTGGTAGCACAGAGTTGGAATAAATATGCTTTGAATAAGATGTCTCTTTGTGCTGATTGGGGTTGTCTTATGCTGTAAGAGGGGGGCTAGCTGTCCCAATACTTGGTTTGCTTTACTGCATCTAATGTCAATTTCTTTATCCAATTTCCCATCTTCAGTAAATGTAGTTCCCAGATATTTAAACTCAGATGATTGTTTAATGTCTTTGTATTCTATTGCTATGTTTAGATCTGTCTTCTTTCTTCCTATTGACATTACTTCTGTCTTTTCAGTGTTGATTCTCATATTATTTGTTTTACATTCTTCATTCATGGATGTTAGATGTTGTTGCAATTTCATGGCTGTATCTGCTATCAAGGCCTGGTCATCTGCAAAGAGTAATTCGTTGATCTTACTAAGATCTTCATTCATGGGCTTGGCATTCTTACATATACTGTCGATGTAGGTGATAAACAGCAGTGGTGATAAGACACACCCCTGTCTTACTCCAGATGTCACTGTGAAAGGATGAGATGTTCCCTGATTTATTCTAACTACACTTCTACAATCCCTGTATAAACTTTTGCACACTTCGATGAGGTGTTCGCTTACTCCATATCTTGCCATTATTTTACATAGTAATTGTCTGTCGACTCTGTCAAATGCCTTCTCCTGGTCTACGAATGCCACAAATGCTGACTGGTCTATCAAAATATGGTTCTGGCATTATGTGCTAGAAACACTACTAGGAGATGACAGGTAGAAAAGAATATTAATATGGTACAATGAGCAACATACATCTTCATCAGTGCCATGCTGGAATCGACTTCTCCGTGAGGTCCTGGTGCTAGGACCCAACCAATGAGAGACACCACTTTCTGAGGTTCAGACATCAACTGCAAATACAAAAATTTTAAAAACATAAAAAAAAGGCCTCTTTTCTTATGACAGTGGTGCTCAGAGCATATGATGTGAGACTCAAATCTGTATAGACTAAAGGGCACTCAGTGGGTGATGTGGTCAATAACACATGGACTGTCTTTACTTTACAAGACACTACTGGACTGATTTATGGTTGGGCTGATCTGGGATCCAAGTTATTTCTTTTTCTAAATCTGACTCAATGCAGATTCAAACTCAAGACCTTCAGGATGACAGGCAAGTGTCTAGTCACTATACTACCCTGGCTCCCACAGCAAAATATAACACAACATAATTATACCTAGCTGGCCTATTATGTCAGATAGCTGTTCCACCCCAGAGCATAAGGTTTAAAGTCAAAAGGATCAACTCCACTGTACCAGGTTTTATCTCACATCGCATGGCCTCTGTTTAAACAAAGTTAATTGTCTGCCGAGATGGTCTCACAAACCCACAACCTTTGGAGCACTAAGCAAAATGCTTATTCCGGACAAGAGCAGATAATCAGTAGTAATCAGTAATCATGTGTTCCATCACATAACATTACAGATTTTATAATAATAAAGTCAAAGATCTACATGTAGATAAATACGGGGGAAGTGATAGAGATATTAAAATTAGAATACAAAAGGCAAGAGGAGCTTTCATAGCACTAGGGAATTTGTGGAAGAAGTCAAAAGAAATCAAAAGAAATACTAAACTTAAAATTTTTAATTCTAATGGCAAATCAGTACTATTGTATGGGGCGGAAACATGGAGAACAACTAAGGCAATTACTTATAAATTACAGACATTCATTAACTGGCACCTGGGCAGAATAGAGGTAATTAAATAGTATGATAGAATAAGTAATGAAGAGCTTTGGGAGAGAACTAAGCAAGCTCCAGTGGACCAAGAGATGAGGAAAAGACTGGCCTTGGATAGGACACACCATAGAGAGAACCAGAGAACAGCATAACTAGAGAGACTTTGCACTGGAACCCACAGGGCACAGGAATAAAGGAAGGCCAAAAAACCACATGGAGAAGAGAGCTGAAGAATAAAGTTAGAAAGATGGCGAAGACATGAGAAGAGCTACATACGATAGCGAAGGATAGAACGACTTGGCATGAGTTGGTTCAGGGCCTATGCTCTATTGAGGGCTAGAAAGGCAGAAGAAGAAGAAGAAAGTTAAATATACCCTTTTGGTGTCTCCACCTTGAGAAACATTTTAAAGAAGATTTAAAAAAAAAAAAGAAGTATTTAAACCTAACAACCCAACACAAAACTGGCTTGGTCCTTTCATGTGAGTTTCAACCGTCACACAATATGTTCATTACCTGCTACATTTGGCCACCACACACTAAAGAAATCTGGCCTTTCCGGTGACCATTTCTACTGTGTATTGCCTCTCTAAAAATTAATGCATTTATGACTGTAATCATGATCATCATCATGTGCCATGCAGACAAGCCTAGGCCATCGTGCTTGGCCAACCTACACAATCATCAGAATCATGAATCAGGTCAGTGTTCTTGTCCCACCCCATACATAAAGCTAAGCCATCCAGGTATTTATCTTTTTTTATTTCTTATGTTTGCTTTCCATCAAACTTGCCAGTAGTTACCACAGTCTTGAATCCACTCCATCACAGAACATTTCTGAAAAACACTGTCTGTCTATGTCTAATTGTTCTAATCAGCTCATCTGTCTTGAAGAGGGCTGCCTAGTTTGTTTTTCTGTCATTCCATGATATTGTTTATTCAGTTGTTAGTAAATATTTTTTTCAGCTTGTTTGCTTATTATCCATATCTGATAAGCATAGAACAGCACAGGTTCTGTAGAGCACTTTAACACTATTTTTCCAACTACACGTAGAAATTAAATAATTTTTCTTTTTTGGGAAACAGCCAGAGATAGAAAGATTTGTGTGAGAAGGTTACTTTTTATGTTTGTTCACAGTTTTCTTATGAATAGTTTGCATACAAGCACATAATAATTCAAGTTTTTAACAGTCTACTTCTCCTTCATGTTCACTGGTTGTAAACTCTGACAGAAGTCTTGATTGTTCACGTTTGGACACTGATCTTGCTCCAGGGCTTGAGTGTGGCATGCACATCCATTTTACAGATATGGCTGATTGTGTGCTGACTGTTTTTTCCTCGCCTCTCAGGCAGGTGCTTTCGACTTCGAAGGAAACCTCAATCCCATCTATGCTGGCCAGGCCCCTGGTTGGCAACCTGTTTCTAGAATGACCAGGACAGGTCTGTGTAGGTTTTGAACAATAACAGCCCTGGTCCTGATGCACTTCCACGCGATGTTCTGCACCTCCACACCCGTTCACACATGTATGCATCTTAGTGACTCGATGAATAGGATTTTAAAAAATCCAAGCTGGATTTATCACTAAGTACTTCACGAATATCTGCCCTAACCTTCATCTTTGTGCCAGGTCATGCGGGTGTTCAAGGAAAAGAGCGTGCAGACTATCTTGCTGATACCGCAGTTGCTATGGCTAGTCCAGTACTGGACAGATGTGATGTTATCAATGCCATGCGCTGCACTTACCGTACCGAGGAGCACGCTAAAGGACATGACTCCATATCCCTGTCTAGACTGATGGACACTGGGGTGCAGCCTGGAGCTGCAAGAAATGAACATTTCACTAAGGGGACAATACGTTTCATTAACCAACACAGAACAGGCGTCATCAGTCATTTTACACTTGTGGAGCTTTTGAGGAGCAGATCGGAGCACCTATGGATCTATCTGGAGTGCTGTGATGATAATTCTTTCTAATCATTAATCACCTCTACACCCCAAAAACATTCAAAACTACACTGATATGAAACCCTCTTACCTCTTTCAGTACCCGCAAGGCATCATGGCGGTTTGGAGGAAGAGGAAACATTAGTATCTTGTGAAATAGGGATTCAAGCACGGGCCTTAAAGGTGGAATACTGCCAACCAAACTCGCTAACTCGCCAGCAATGCTGAAAGAATAGACAGTCAAAAAAACAGGTAAATCAAATTTTCCTTTTTTGGATGGATTTTTTAACCCCATTTTGAGGGGTAAAAAAAAAAAGAATATACCTTTCTTCTTAAAGTCCACGCCTTGTGACGCTGGTAGTTATGTCTATCCACAACCTTCTGTCTCTTGTACTTTCAATCAATTCTGATACAGATGATCCTATATGCCATGATGTCAAACTGTCCAGCACCTTTTCTCTCAGTCTCCCTCTGCCTCTCCTACCTTACAACTTTCCTAATTTCCGTTTTCTCCTTCTCATCACATGACCAAAGAATGCAGACAGTGTTTTTCAGACATGTTCTATGATGGAATGGATTCAAGGCCGTGGTTACGACTGGCAAGATTGATGGAAAGAAATTAAGAGGAAGACAAAGAGATAAATACCTGGATGGCTTAGCCATATGCATGTCTCTTTAGATTGTCTCTTTCTGATCTGGGTAATCAGTTTTTTTGTGTGAGTCAGTTTCTTTCAAGACATTTTCATTACTCTTTTTATCGGCCCAGGGTATTCTCATCATTCATCTATAAAACCACATCTCCGCAGCTTGTTAAAGGCAAATAATAAGGGATTTGCTAAAATCAGATGTGCTGGACTGAAAGGCGTAAATATCGCAACCGAGATGTAAACCACAACATAATGTGCCAGCTGCTCTTTTCAGTTGAAATGTAGAAAAAGAAATTATTATGCTTCAGTCAATAGAACTAATAAAACAATTTATCAGGCAAACGAACCAATGAATCAAATAATAGTCAAAAGAACCAATAAAACTAATTATTAGTAAAACAAATCAATAAATCAAATTATAATTCAAAAGAAACAATAGAAAAAAACTATCAGTCAAATGAACTAATGAATGAAAAAGATCCCCCAACCCTTAAAAAAAAACAGATGTACAATCAGTCAAAAGAATAAGCAAATTAAAGTATCAATCTTGCAAAAAATCTTCAGACAAACTCAAATATTTTTTTTACTTCAAGGTTAAATATAAATAACCAGATACTGTAAAAAGTACAGAGCCATTGTGCCATTGGTGCGTCGAGCAGGTGAAGCTAAAATCATATGTTCATGGAAATTATACTGTAACATAAAAACATTAGCATCCAAAAGTGTAAGCACACCTATGTAGGTGATGTAAATCAAACATAATATACCTGTAGATAACTTTAGCTGAAGCTTGCGTTATATGAGGAGACGAAGTTGACTTCCCCGTAGATCTGCTGATTTCTGACCAGCCTGCTTTCTGACTTCCTGTGGATTTCTCAGCCTTGGGTTCGCCTAGTAAGCTGATCAGGCATGGGCAAAGTCTCTGCCTGCAAGAAAGATCAATCACTCACTAACTCACTCACTCACTAAATTTAGGGAAATCAATGCCCACTTAACAATAATGTCACAAAAGGTAAGTAATAAAGGATTTGCTGAAACTGGATGTGTTGGGCCAAAATGTGCAGATTTTACAATCTAGCTGTAAACACCAATGCAAGAGGCCAACTTCCATTTCAAGATCCAATACAGAGGCTGGTAGAGGAGGAGGCGAAGAAAGAGGAGGAGGAGGAGGAGGAGAAAAAGAAGAAGAATTAAGAGGAAGAGGAGGAGGAGGATAAGGAAAAGAAAAATAAGAAGAAAAAGGAGAAGAAGAAGAAAAAGAAAAAGAAGGAGAGAAATAAGAAGAGGCGGAGGAGGAGATAGAGAACAAAAAGAAGCAAGAGGAGAAAGAAGCAGGAGGAGGAGGGAGGAGAAAGAAGAAGAGGAAGAAGAACAGTGGGAAAGCACAAGCCAGGACATGTTCAATTACCACAAAAGCTCCTGGAAGTCACTGTTGTGTTTGATGGTGGACTGAACTTTGGCGAGTACAGTGTTCACCCCTTCCAGCAATAGAGGCAGAGCTTGCTTGCCTTCAGGGACACTGTGGACAAAGGCATCATTATTTCTGGATCTATCATTAATTCAAATAGTGTAAAGTAAAGGTTTCTTGTCCGTGTCATTAGGCGTTTTTGTAAATAGTGCTAGACTTCTAATTTTTTTTATACAAACAATCATTCTGTGGGTGATGTCAACATGATGACGGCTTCCATTACTTCCCAGGACTTTATCTGGTACCCGTTTAAAGCTGGGTCGACTTGGGGGCCAAGGTCATGTTTGACTAAAAAATCTGGCGACATGGGGATGTGAATCATTAATTACTAATCATAATAATGTATTTCTTCTGGAATGGACTTTAACTAAATGAAAACAAAAAGAAAATGTAGAGCATTGTGTCCACACCAATGATTTTTTACAGAACATCTAGCACTGATGGAAGATGCAAGCAATATCATGATGACTGCCTTTATGTACCAGGGCATTTCCTAGTACTAAGTTTATGCTTTGTTGACCTGAATATCATGGTCAATTTTTTTCTTCTTTTAAATCTGCCCGGCATCCTTCTAAATCTACTGATAAATAATTTGTGTTCTAGAACCTTAATTAATTACTAAGGAAATACCTCTTTTCACGCCTTCAGGCGTTTTGAGCAGATAGGGCTAGACCTATTTTTTATAGACCAATCAGCACTCTGTGGGTGATGTGGTCAGCATCATGCTAACCACCTTAACTTCCCAAGATTTTACCTGGCACCTATTTAAGGCTGGGTTGACCTGGGAACCAAAGTCATTTAAAAAAAAAAAGTCTTTAGCCGTCAGGACCGGAACCCATATCATTCAGATCAACAGGTGAGCATCTAGCAGCTCCTTTTAATTATTGTGGCTCCTTTTAACTAATTAATGCTAATCATAAATGTACAACAACAACAAAATGTGGTGTGTAAACCACAAAAACTAGATCTAATCAAGCTTACCACTGTCACTCTAAAGTACCAACTACCCACCTGGCCACAACCTCAAGCCGGTCAGTCAAAAATGTCAAAATGAGCACCACTTCACTGATCAAGTTTGCTGTAGGCACTGCTTTACCTGGCAAAATAAGAGAATAATCATTTAAACATGTGTTCAAGTATCTGAGTATTTTGATAACAGCAGATGGTAGATTTTTAAAGATTTCCTTTTTTTTTTTTAAACACTGTCTTTACTGCATGTATTTACCACTTTAAAGGGTGATGTAGGTGGGGGGGTTATGCGCCTGAGGATTTATGGGCCAAATGGCTAGTGCGGTCACCCAAAATGTGTAAGTTCTGATTTTTATTGTTGCCTTTGACAGACAAATATTCTTGTCATCCTACAGAAGATGTGAAACTGGGTCTCCCTAATGAGATTTGTGTGTTCTAAATGTTGGTTGTCGAAAGATAGTCATTCTATCTGTTGCTATCACACATAGCTCACCCCATCTTTTTACTCTCCTCTCTAATTCCCACCTCTGTGTGCTCTGTGTCTGCTTTTATTCCTTTGACTCTGCTGGTTCTGGTCAACATTCTAGTTATAGAGTAGGTTTTCTCAATTCAGCATCTTTTATTCACCTTTTAATTCATTTGAATTTGTTTAGCTCTCTTCCAAAGCTCTACGTGAGTGATTCTGTGAAACAATTTAATTCCTTCTATTTTGCACAGGAACAAGTAAAATAATGTATGTCTATCCTATATGATCTTTATGTTACGTCTTAACATTTGGGTACTCACAAGTTATCTACATTTTTGTCAACCTGCTGCTTTTCTGCCCATAATATCCAATGTCAGTTTACACTCCTTCATTCCCCTTTCTTCTGCTCTTTTCCCAGTTTCCTTAAGTCATCCATATCTCCTTTTTTTCCAACTACCATCCATCAGACAGCTGTCCTTGCCAAAGTGTCAAGAGACATTCTGCAAACATGTCTTGTCCATCCCCATCTTCTTCCTTTAATAATGTTTGCCAAGGAGGAATATTGTATTCTTCTTCTAAATTCTTTATTTGTGAACTTGTCTGGCCAAAAAGTAAGTGTGTAGACTTGAAAAGTCTCTAGTTAATGTGTAATATCATTTCCAACACTCCAATTTTTCACATTCCAACCATTTCCAAGGTACTATAATGTGATATTGAAATATAATATATAATCAAAGTATGTGGTTTACTCAAAAGTGTTCTAGCCTGTTTACTGATGTTAATTTTATGATTATTGTCTCTCTGTGCCTCTTACTGTAATCTCGCTCCGTCTCACTTTGTATTTATCATTCTCTCTCTCTGCGCCATGTCAGTATCTTTCTGTCCCTCTACCTCCCAAACAACCTCTCCATTCCTCCCTCATAACTCTTATCTCCATTCTTCACCCACTCTGCATTCCCCCTCCCCCACCCCCAAAAGTTTCATAATAAAATCAATGTACATAAATGTCTGAAATGAACCAGGCCACTGCCTACTTACTGTTAGGCTTGAAGTCGGCCAGCACATCGTCTTGATCATCAACCTGATAGGAACAATAAAACATTAATACACTGTAGATAACCCAGCCCTGGGCTGTGACTCATTACAGTGTGAGGATAAAAAGAAAAGAAGAAGAATCTGTTGTTTTAGCAAAGACAGCAAGACAATCAACACTTACACAACTTCATTTTTACAGGGTATTAAAATAACTCCTTGAGACTAGAAAAAAACTATATATTGGCTACATACAGTGGCTATATACTATACAGGATGGGGGAGGGGGAACTAAGTGGTCTCGAGGCATGGCATAAATTTTGTTTCACGTGGACTTCTAATAATTTTCCCTGGTCTTTGGTTAGTAAGATCAGACGCCTGTGTGTATTGTTGCACAATTTTAAAAAATCCCTTAGCAGTTGGAAATCGAAATACTAGCTATTTTTTGTTTCTTTTTTAACTTTTGCAACTTTATCTGAATTTGACTGTCAACTCATCAAACTAATCAGAATCTGTGCATGCTTCTCACTTCCTTCAATTTACTTTATGTACTTCACAATATACTCAAAATTTCATCTGTCTGGCTAAAGGCCTATGTAATAATTATATCTTAAAATAACTAAGTAAAGTAAAGGACCCTTCAGCATATTGAGTATTTAGGGCTAGACGTAAATTGTATAGACCAATTGGCACTCGGTGAGTGATGTGGTCAACATCATGCCGACCACCTTTACTTCCCAGGACAAAACCTGGTACCCACTGAAGGCTGGGAAACCTGACAGCCAAGGTCTTTTTTTTTTTAAGGGGGGTTCTGTCAGTAGCCGAACCCACGACTTTCCGATCTGCAGGCGAGCTTCTAGCCACTATAACACGGCGGCTAAATACATACTTTAATACAAAATTAAAATCAAAATAGGGATCACGTAGTCAAGCTGATATCAAGAAATAATTTCTCGTTATCATCATAAACATTCTTCTTCTTCTTATAGTCCATGCTATGTGGTATTGGATGTCATGTCTATCCACAACTTTTTGTCTCATGTACTTCCAATCATTTCTGATACCATGATGTCAAACGGTCCATCATTTTCTCCTTAGGTCTCCCTCTGCCTCTTATCCTCTCCAACTTTGTCAACATCACAATGTACTCCTTTTTTCTCCTTCTTACGATATCAGCTAAGAATGAAGATTGTCCAACTTCTGATGTGGGTAATCAGTTCTCTTTCTTCAGACAGTTTTTTTCAAAGCATCTTCTTACTCTTTTTTTTTTCTTGATTTGTCCAGGGTGTTCTCTTCATTTATTTATAAAACCAAATCTCTGCCATTCCCACATATTTTTTCCCAACTGGTCAGCTGTCCATGATTCACTTCTGTATACGAGGATAGGAGTTATGTAGCTCATGAAAATGCTCTTTCTCATCTCAACTGTCAAAGAAAGAATGCATAAAAGAGTCTTCATTTTGTGAAATGTTTTCTTTGCTTGATCTATTCTACATTTAACTCTTTAACACATCTTCCATCTGCTGTTGTTGGGGTACCAAAGTACTTAAATATACAACAATTCCTTCATCACCCTTTTGTAACAGAGCTTTTCAAACTGTGCGTCACAGTGTGAAGGTATGTTATGCACACATAAAGTGTTATACAGAACAATCAGCAAATATATGGTTCTGCAAACTCAATAGTTGATGCCTGAGATTGGTATTCTGAATACCTCATCATCATTGTCCTGCTCGCAGTCCTCAATTCCATTTTATTCTGTGAAATCCCTTCAACATCAAGGATGGAATCCAGTTCAGCACCTTTGGCCTCTCACATCATTGTTCATTTGACGTCCTTGCTTCCTCTATCCCTTTATTTTCCATTTGTGTACCTGAAAGGTGATTCTCAGCTTGTTTCCTCTTCAGATGTGTTCAATATAGTACCATCCTGTAACTGTTGTCCACTTGTGGCATGCAATTTTTCATTATTTGAAGCCCCACCCTGACTTTTGCCGGGGACCCTGAATATAGCCGGGCCATAATGGCTGAAAGAGGTTTCTGGGACCCCTCCATAGGCGATCCTCATCCTATTCGTGGCACTTTGTGTCACCGGGTTTTTATCGTTTGTGTGATGTCCTGGTGAGGTACAACAAGCAAGCAAGCAAGTAGTACCATCATTTCTTTACCTCTCTTGAATTTGTCCCATTTTATATTCACAATTCTCCACTGGCATTTTTATTACCTTTTTCAAACCCATTTAATTTTCATTAATTTTGTTAGTGGCCCTCCAACTTTCACTGGCATATGTCAAAAGTGAAATTACATTAGAACTGAAAAATATGTAATTTGGTTTCAAAACTATACAGTTTAGAGTTCCCCAATTTGTTCAGGTTTTTAAAAGCTGCTAATACCTTGCCAGTGTCTCATACTTTCTTGGAATTTCCTTGACTTTCAAAATCACTACCTAAATTAGCAAATTAACCTGTTACTTTTAATCTTTTTGTGTATCGCTACATCTGTTTGATCTGTCATTAGTTTCTTTAATATATTTGTGTTTTTATAACTTATTTCTACTCCATTCTACTTGATGCTACATTTACTAGATCAAACATGTCCTTGTTGTTTTAACTTGAACAATACCATCAGTGTAACTGAGATCTTCCAACTGTAGGTTCTCCACCTGGTGTTTCCAACATAAAACTTCTTCATAAACAAGTCAAATATGTTATAAGTTATGCCAAACACAGTTACTGTGAACTCTTGTCAAGTCATACAGGTGTACAATACAGGTGTACATATTACTTCATAGCTTTTTTTTTCTTCTTCATATTATAGATAAATAAACTACCCAATACTTTTTATCATATCTTAAAGACATATAAACTAGTCCATACTTTTTGTCAAATCTTAGAAATATATAAATTACTTCATACTTTTTGTCAAATCTTAGAAATATATAAATTACTTCATACTTTTTGCCAGATCTGGAATATATTAAAACTACTCCATACTTTTTTGTCAAATCTTAGAGATATACCAATTACTCCATACTTTTTTGTCAAATCTTAGAGATATATCAATTACTCCATACTTTTTGTAAAATTTTAGATATATATAAATATTCCATACTTTTTGTAAAATAAGAAAGATAGATAAATTATACTTTCTGCCAAATCTTAAAAATATTTAAATCTCACAATACTTTTTAAACAAATTTTAAAGATAAATAAATTACTCTACATTTTTTGTCAGATCTTAAAGATAAATAAATTACTACCCTTTTTGTCAAATCTTAAAGATACTTAAATTACTCTAACTTGTCAAATCTTAAAGATATTCAAATTATTCCACACTGTTTGTCAAATCTAAAAGATTTATAAATCACTCTACACATTTTGTCAAATAGTATAGATTTTTAAATTACTTAAACACATTTTGTCAAATCCTAGAGATATATAAATTACTCCACATTGTTTGTCAAAGGTTGCTACTTTATAAATTACTCTATACTTGTTAAAGCGGCATCCATGGCTTAGGCTTTGCGAGTCCGACTCGTAATTCCAACATACTGCAATCAAAACCCACTGCTGCCTGCGTAGATTTTTATCATGGTATGGGGCGTCGCAGGTTGACCCAACCTAAAATGGGTACCAGGATGTATGTCCTGGGGAAGTAGAGACGGCCGGCGTAATGCTGACCACATTACCCACCTAGTCCCGATGGTCTAAAAAAATATGGGCGCTTTTCCCATTTACCCGATGCACCTAAAGGTGTGACAAGGGATCTTTACTTTACTTTTTTACTTATACTTGCTAAAGATATACAAATTACTCACTACAAATCTTAAAGAAACATGAATTACTCCAAAATTGTCAAATCTTGAAGATATATAAATTACTCAATTCTGTTTGTCATATTAAAAAAACGTAAATTTCTCCAAACTTTTTGTCAAATTTTAAATTTTACACTATATATGTTACTCCAAGCTTTCTGTCAAATCACTCCATGCATGTTGTCAAATCTCAAAGATATATAAATTACTCCAAATGTTTTATCAAATTTTAAAGATATATAAATTACTCCAAACATTTTGTCAAATTATAAATATATATAAATCACTCCATACTTTTTTGTCAAATAATAAGATATACACATTACTCCATAATTTTAAAGTATCTACTAAGATACTTCACATAACAACATTATAGACCAACTTTAGGAAACTGAAAAATTACATAAGAATGTTACATTAATTATTAAGTCTTAAATCTTATAAGAAAAATTTTTTAAATTTTTTAAATGTTTGTCTGGTAATGAGATTTAAAAAAAATATTCTATGTAATCTTTCTTTGTTAACTGGGAGGAGAAAAATTCTTAACAGCTATATAATTCAAATCCTGATATACAGAAGTGAATCATGGACAGTTAACCGATTAGGGAAAAATTATGTTATAGTATCAAAAATGTGTTTCTACAGATGCATGACATAAACAGTATGAGGGACAAAAAGAGTAATGGAGATGTCCTGAAGAAATTAACACAAGAAGAAAGTCCCTGGCCATGTAATGAGAGGGAGAAAACTGGAGAACATCATGATGGTGAGAAAATTTGATAAGAAAAGAGGTAGAGGAAGACTGAGTGAGAAGATCCTAGACAGTCTGACATTGAGGTAAGGAAGATCCTCTGTGCACAAAATGATTGAAAATACACGAGACAGAAGGCTAGGGTTATACATGACTACCAATGCCACATGGCATGGACCATTAGAAAAACGACAACTAAGATACCTTACCATAGAAAAAAAAGTGAAAATATTTTAACCTATGACTGGTACTAACAGAATTGGAACTCTTTGTTTATATGAGTGTCTTCAATGCATGATTATTAATTAATTTTATTAAGGACCCCTCTACGCCTTCGGGCATACTGGGCACATAGGGTTAGACCTATATTTTATAGACCAATCGGCACTTAGTCGGTGATGTGGTCAACATCATGCTGACCGCCTTTACTTCCCAGGACTCCATCTGGTACCCATTTAAGACTGGGTTGACTAGGGAGCGAAGGTTGAGTGCTATGATGTTGATTTTTAACTCAACCTTCAACAACATTTTTATAGACCAGTTGGCATACTCAGGGGGCAATGTAGTCAACATTGTGCCAACTGACACCCTCACAAATGACACAAAACCTTGCACCCTGGCTGAACAAATATTTTTTTTTTTATAACTATGAAAACGTCATTTGGTCAAAAAGAATTATACACATGATTCACAAACTGCAATCCAGTTGAAAAGATACTTTAAAAATTACAATGTTAAGTTAATTAAGCCAATAGAAGGCTTATAAATTGTAATGTTATCTAATTTTGTGTTAAGGTAATGAATATAAATCAAACTATTAAGCTACAGAGCAGTCCTATTGACACTATAACAATCTACAACTTGATAAGCAAACTCACAAGCATAAAAACTACTGTACTAAAGGGTAGTCTTGTGGAGGCTATAACAATCTACAAATATGTGACCAGCTTATAAGACTAACAGTATTATAGGGAAGTGTCGAGGCTATAACAATCTATAAATGTGTAACCAAGCAAACAAATCTAACAGCTACCGCATTATTGGGTAACCTTGATCAGAACATAACAATTTACAAAATGGTAACAAAATTTCGCCAAGTTACACAATCTACAAAATTACAATAAATTTAACAAGTCTAACAGCTACCGTACTAACTGGCAGTCTGGATGAAAAAACAAAAATCTACAAAATGATTACAAACCTGGCAAAGCTACAAGCCTAGCAGCTACTGTACTATCTAGTGGTTACATGCCCATTTGTCAAATTTGTTGGCCAAACTCTGCTAAGGTGTCAATGCCATCTGTGGCCTAATCTAATTAAACATCCCACAGCTGTGTTTAGGTGACAAATTGTGCTTTTACCTCATACAAAGAAAATCTGTACAACAAATATTTCTCTCCTGTCACAACAGATGTACCAGTCTCCTAACTCTCACAACAAATGTACAAGTCTCTCTCACAACAAACATACAAGTCACCACTCTCACAACAAACACATCTTCTCTCTCACAACAAATGTTCAAGTCTCTTCTCTCCCACAACAAATACATCAGTCTCCTCTCTTACAACAAATACACTTTTCTCCTCTCTCACAACAAATACGCCAGACTCCTCTCACACAACAAATTCACGTCTCCTCTCTCACAACAAATTTAGTCTCCTCTCTCCAAACAAATATACCAGTCACAACAAATATGTCAGTCTATTTCTCATGCAACACAGATTTCACTTTTACACATAGAAAATACAAACTACAACCCACTGCTGTCCATCACAAACACACATAAATCCTATAATGCAAAATTTCTCTTTTATCAAATATAAACAAGCATACGCAATCGCTCAATGTATTTTCATCTATCTTACTTACACATCTTATTCTTCTGTGTCTGCCTTAGAGGGTGGTTGGCAAACATTGTTGTGGTTTACAGCTAGGATATGATATCTGTCCCTTTGAGCTGAACACACCCAATTTCAACTAACCCTTAATCAGTTGCCTTTTAGGAGATACTTGCTAAGGGACAGTGGGTCTATTCTCCCCCCCCCCCCCCCTTTTTTTACAAAGAGCCCTGGAATCCACCTGAAGACATGTATACACATCATATCATTTTAACTTCTCTTACCCTAAACCAGAACTTTCCCCCCTCCTCCCCCAACTCTCATATACATAACAACAGCTAACTTTAACTGCCACTTATCATAGACACAAAACCACATTATTCATCTAACACAAAAATTACTAACACTTTCATGTCACATAACCTATGACATATTTTAACCTCCCACGTATTATGTCACAACCCGCTCCCATCTCCAACACATCCCAACAACCCACTTTCATCTTGTACACATCACAACCCACTTTCACCTCCCACACAACCTGCCCCCAAACTGTCAAGTACAAGCATACCACAGCCTCCTCTGACTCCACCAGCCCTCCAACGAACTTGTTCAGCATGGTGATGAATGCTGCCTGCACGGCCCCCTGGACCATCACACAGTTCTGGTAGCTACCAATGTACACCTGCAGAACACCAGGGAAAAAAACCAGCATCTTACCCAGTGCTGTCACCACAAGCATGAAAACAAAACCAAATATTTTCCCAAGGTAAAGGACAAGACAGGTCAGGTAGGGTTCAGTCCCCGGAGAATCCTTTAAGCCAGTGTTTCCAAACATGGAGCTCATTTACCATTTGACTGTCGAAAAAAAGGGTGGAGGGTGGAGGGGGGTGTAAGTACAATTCAAAAATGGACTCATCAAGAGTTTGTTACATAGGAGGCATATAAATTTTAGAAAGGTTTAGGTGGGGCATGGCAACCAAAAAAAAAGTTTGGAAACAGTGCTTAAAGCCAATGAAATAGCAAGACTAACAAATCTGTAGGTATTAATGGGCACTTACAGATGAAGGGAAAAAAAAGCAGAGGTAGGAGAAAAAAGATCAGCATATTTTTTAAAAAACGAGCATAAACAAAAGGTTACCCCTCGGAAATGGACAGGTTAGTGATTAGTCAGAGCTATCATCCCAGGGCTCTCATGCGGGAGACAGGGTTCGAATTCTCAATAAGGTTGGAGATTTTTTTAAATTTTGGTGGCATAAATAAAACCCTGATGTTGCCCATTAAAAGGCTAGGATTCAGGCTCAAAGATTTCTCTGCCTACAAAACAATTTTGACAACTACAGGTGTACTGGCAATCTTTTGTTTTGTTTTGTCATCATATCAGTTTGAACAGATCCATTGGTATTCTGTTCTCTGAATCAGTGAAACAACCAATCATGCCTGTTCTGTGATGAAAGGTGTTCAACTTCTGGACTTGACGGACAAGAAGGGCACAAGATGTTTGATGAATGTGTGTGAACAATCATTTCAATCATGTAGAGCTATTAAGGAGATATCAGAGCACCTATGGATTTGTCCCTAGTCGTAGGGTGACAGTCAAAACTAATCAATAATTAAGATTGAAAAAAATATGAAACCCAATTTCTTAGGTTCGAATTCCTGCCCCTATGGGGTGTGAGGTAGGCATTCTTTTTTCCTGACAAAACTCTCCTTTGGTAGCGAAATTAATTTTAAAAAGTGGAGAGAGGAAAAAAAGTGGAATTAACCATGGATTAAATTAAAAAATTTTTTTTTTTTAAATAGATTCCCCACATCAGATGGAGGTAATATACTCTTATATCATAAAACTTTACATAAAATTATATGAATCTCACAGAAGCCAAGGGAAAGAAATGCGTAAGAAAAACAAGACATGGAAACAGCTGCAATAGGCAGGTAGGTAGTTGTACCTCACCAGGACATCACACAAGCAATAAACACCCGGTGACACAAAGCCCCACCATGCGGATGATCACCCGTGGAGAGGTCCTAGAAACCCCTTTCAGCCGTTATGGCCATATCCATGGCCTAGACCATATTTATGGCCTGGCTATATTCAGGGCCCCCGGCAGAAGCTAGGATGGGGCTTTAAATGACAACAAATTGCATCCCACATAGGGATGACTTTTGTTTAATATCTGCAATACCTTTTGTTATTTATAATAATATTTTTATAACATAAAAAAAATGCTGGTCGTGAAATTACATAAGGAAGAGAAAAAGGCAAAGAGCTATCCAGTGTATATAAAGATGATGATTCTTGTAAAAATGAAACTCTCCACTTCTTGTTTCTCCTATTATTCACTGCATTTTCACCAAAGTTATCCCCAATTCAAGGGGAAGTAAGCAGATGTCAAAGAATACACTTCACCAGGAATGTTGTAAATGTCACTTGGAATAGATCTATTTCTAACCCCTTAGATAAACTGTTTGGAATAGATCTATGTCTAACATTTTTATTTTACTGTTATGAAGTAGATCTATGTCTAACATCTAAGCTTTACAGCTGTGAAACAAATCTCTACCTAACTCCTTAGTTTTATTCTTATGAATTAAACCTTTGTCTAACACAGATAAATTGCGATGGAATAGATCAGTCTAACACAGATAAATTGCGATGGAATAGATCAGTCTAACACAGATAAATTGCGATGGAATAGATCAGTCTAACACAGATAAATTGCGATGGAATAGATCAGTCTAACACAGATAAATTGCGATGGAATAGATCAGTCTAACACAGATGAATTGCGATGGAATAGATCAGTCTAACACAGATAAATTGCGATGGAATTGATCATTCTAACACAGATGCATTGCGGTGGAATAGATCAATGTCTACAAACTTAGCTTTATTGCAATGTGAAGTAGAGTTACAAATAACATTTTAAATATACTGCTTCAGAGTAGATCTATTCCTAACAATCAGTATCATGTGCCTTGCCGATAAGCATAGGCTATCATATTTCACCATCTCACACAATCACAGATTAGGTCAGTGTTCTTGTATTGCCTCATCCACAATACCAAGCCTTTCAGGTATTTATCTCTTTGCCTTACCGTAATTGTTTTTCTATCAGTCTTGCCAGTTGTCATCAAGCTCTTGGGTCCATTCCTACTCACAATATGTCTGACAAACACCAAATGTCCACATCTAATTTTTCTAATCACGTAAATTTTTCATCAGTCTTGAAGACTGCCTTTTTTTCTTTCTTTCTATGATTCCATGATGTTCTTTGCATTTTTCACAAAATCCACATTCATTGCAGTGAGCAGGTGTTTTCTCAGCTTGCCTGCTTCAATCAGTATGGTACCATTTTCACAGTGAATGTTGGCTGCAACAAATCTTCAACATGCTATTCTCATGTCTTGATGTGCACTCTCTCAGACTACTGTTCATCCATTTCCTGATGATGTCCTCCCACTTGCACTGGTATCTACCTCTTGCCCCCAACTATTGCCTCTAGTATGGTTTTTTTAAAAGAGTGTCATGGCCTGTAATGTAGCCAAAATATTTCAATTGTCAATTGTTTTCTTCCCAGTAAATCTCTTTTCATTTTTAGTCTCCCAAGAAACTCTGCATTTGATTGTTTTTGTTTCAATGAAATACAAGTATTTGCATTGTCTGCTTCTCTATGTCTACTTCAGATAAATTGCTGTAAAAGAGACCTAAGTTTTGCATATTAGATAGACTGCTGTGGAGTACAACCATGACCAACGGATTAGCTATTTAGCTGTGGAATGAATGCACATTCAATTAGGGATTCACTACAAGCACCTCTACAGACAACCCCTCTGAAGATACATAACTAAAGCTCAAAACACCATCTATGCAGAAGTCCCATCCTGGAAAACCAGGAGAAAGTTTCAATGGGAGGGGAAAAAACTGAAGATTAAATTGTCTTTACGTGATCTGCAGCAGTATCATACAGAATCTGCACCAGCCATTTCTTGAGTTCTGGGCTGACAGAATGGTTAGGGCAACAGTAAATAGCAAATGTTGCCAAAAGACAAACCCGAGATCTGGCACCTATTCTCCGGTTCCCACATTTCAGGCTCATATCTATGAGTATCTGTAAACACATACACATGACATTTATACAATTCTAAAAGCTTCCAGTGCAAGAAGGATCCTATGTGTTTTATTTGACAGACGCCAATAATCATTGTTGTTTTACATTTATTTATCCCCAAAAAATTGTTGGGGGTGAGGGGGGGGGGGGGGGGGAATATATAAAGAGAGTAATCAATAAACATGAACAAAGTGAAGCATTAAATGAAATACAGGGCCTAAAATAAATAAGTATTGGGTGACTTATGCTGTGACCTTGTGACCTATACCACTGAGGCTTTCAGAAAAATTATTTCAAACTGGCTTTTAAAAAACTCACTGGGTTTACAAGGAAACCTTATTTTTTAGTTAATATATTCATATCTGGCTCTTTTTAATACTATGCAGGCAAATAAAAAACCTATAACATTTCATGACACTTTTTAAGAACAGTTCACCGAAGACATGCTAATACATCAACATTTCAGGACTGTATCACAACCGGAAACAAATTTAATTTGGTCTTCTCAGGGCAACACATGGTTACCATGCTTACTGAATTCCTGAAATCATTTTTCTGATGCCATACACCATAAGAGGACATATACACAGAGCACAAGGTAGACTAAAAACAAGATGGAAAGATAACATCTGAGAGACTGCAACAAGTTTATTGTTGAGGTGGCCAGAAGAGCAAGAACCAGAACCTTCAACGACAACAACAAAAAAAGAAAGAAAGAAAGAAAGTCAAGCAGAAGTATGGTGAATGAATGCGACAAGTGAATTAAGAAAAGTATATCAGGTATAAAAAAAAGCACTTACAATCGGTTAGATACATGGTACAGCATAGTACATGGAGAATGTCAGGTGTTCAGCAAACTATACTGTTAAAATATTACATCTGGCAAAATGATGTACAAAATACTAGTTTTAGTCTATTCTGTCTTATTTAAAAAAAATATTGCTGCACTTACATTCAGGTTAATTAACCATTTCAAACTTTGTCCATGTTATTTAACCATACCTTATTTCATTCATGTTACTCAATCATTGGCCATTTTATTCATGTTAGTTTTCATACCCTACTTCATTTATGTTAATTAACCACACATTATTTCATTCATGTTAATTAATCATGTCCCCACTTTATTCAGGTTAATTAATGATTCCTCACTTCATTCATGTTAACTGAGTACCCCCCCCCCCCCCCTTCCCCACTTCAGTCATGTTAATTAACCACTCCTTACTGTTATTCATGTTAATAAATCACTTCCTACTTTCATTTAGTAAAAGTCTGCCACAAATTTGTCATTTCCAAATTTCAATCACAATAAAAAAAAAAAAATTCTCACCGTTTATTTATTAAACTAATCACTCACAACTTTAAATTATTATAATAATTATTCTTCACTTTCACTAAGAATAGTAATCATATTTTATATTCATTCATTATAGTAATTATTCTTCAAGGCTACTAATTATAATAATCATTCCTCACTTTCATTTCACTTTATTCATTCCCCAATTTCATTCATTATACTAATCATTCCCTACTTTCATTCACTATAGTAATTATTTCCTAATTTCATTCATTGTACTGATCATTGCTTACTTCCGCTCTTTATAACACTATTACTCTCCACTTTAATTCATTATAATAATCATTCCCTAATTTCATTCATTATAATAATGTTTCCCGACTTTCATATAGTGTAATTATTATAGCCGACTACCACTCTCTACAATATTACTCCCAATATTCATTCATTATAATAGTGATTCCTCATTTTTATCTTTTTTTTTCTTCTATTTATTTTTTTGTTCGCTGGAAATAGATTATCCAAATCTGCAAGTCTGTCTCTAGTATTATAATATTGTGTGTGTGTGTGTGTGTGTGTGTGTATATATACATAGTATTATCTATAACCACAAGCTTCAGTGGTTATAGTGACCATTCTCCCACTTACATGCATATTGAAGTTAATAAGTTGCTAGATACTTTGTTACTTGGTTAGTGCTGTCAATGATAAGGCCACTACCACTCTCTATAACAATATTACTCCCAACTTTCATTCATTATAATAGTCATTCATTTTTTTTATCGATAATAATAACCACAAGCTTCATTTATTATAGGGACCATCCCCCACCTTCATGCATATTAATGTTAATAAGTTGCTATATGCTTTGTTATGGAAAGTGACCTGAGTGCGACATCTTTGACATGGAAAACTGCACTGAAGATTGCACAGGACAGGAAAGCATGGAAAGTCCTCTCTGAAGCCTCATGTGCCACTAGGCATAAGGAGAACTGATGATGATGATATGCTTTGTTACTGTGTTAATGCTGTCAATGATACAGCCCACTTCCACTCTCTATAACAATATTACTCCCAATTTTCATTCATGATAATAGTCATTCATTTTTTTCATCGATAATAATAACCACAAAGCTTCATTTGTTATAGTGACCATTTTCCCAGCTACATGCATATTAGTGTTAATAAGTTGCTAGATGCTTTGTTACTGTGTTAATGCTGTCTATGATACAGCCAAGCAGCACAGCATTGATGAGACAATATGGTGGAGAATACAAATATTTACTTACAACAGACCACAGGATAAAATTACCAATTTCAACACCTGTAAAGATGGTTTAGTAAAGTAACAAGTAAAGGACCCTTTTAACGCCAGTGGTGTATGGTGATAGACATATGTTTTATGGAACAGTATGCACTCGATGGTAATGTGATGGTACTAGACTCATATTTTCACAGACCAATATGCATTCAATGGGTAATGTGATCAACATGTGATCAACACTCTGCCGACCACCTTTACTTCCCAGGACTTTACTGGTGCCTATTTTAGGTTGGGTCGACTTGAAAGCCAAGGTAATTTTTGAAAAAAACATCTGAATCAATGCAGATGTGAACTCAAGACCTGGCCGGCAAGCGAGGGTCTAGCTGTTCGGTTACCTGTAAAGATACTTTAGTCACTAAATTTATATAGGCTTGGCATTCCCAGCAGGTCAGAATAATCAACAGTTTAAAATCTTGCAATGTGATGATGCTAGAAGAATGTTAATCTGCATTCTCCTCTCTCCCCCCCCCCCCCCCCCCCCCCCAACAATATAGTTTTTGTGTATGTGTTTTTTTTTTTCACTCACAAGGGCCTAGGCCTTTTGGATATGTTTTTTTTCTAGAGGATGTAGGTGTGTTGAGAAATGAATAGGCAGACAGACTATTTGGTTCAGCAGCACTTGGTGGCAAATGATGCATGACAACTAGATGATGTCTAGACCTTTTTAAAAGAGTGAACAGTGAGGAAGCGCAAATAAATCATCATGATCTGAAGGAAATGGTGAAGTAGGGAATGACCCGGGGATCTGGTTGAGTCAGCACTTAGAGGAAAGGCAAGACAGACATACAAGCAGACCGCTACTGGTAGCACTGAAAATATGAACTCTGCTGCTGAAGATGGAAACACAGCACTTATGGGAATTTCCTGAGTGCTTTGATGTCGGTTCCTAATTAAACTCAACTTATTTCAGTCACACCAGATTAAGCTAAATGATAGCTATACGTTCAGATTCTTTCACATCTGGCTCTATCCAAATTCTGTTATTTCTAAATATCCACTTCCAATCGATTACTCATATGTGGATATGGTGCCCCATGAAACAAATACTTAGTTGTGAAATGAACAGACCACTGTCATGTGAATCCTTTAAAAGTGACCTCCTCTTTCCAGCTGGTGTCACCAGGTATTTGTAAGTCTGAATTGAAAAGTTATAGAAACATTCTAAAAATACCAAAAACCAAGAATACAAACACCGACATCCAACAAGATCTGAACATCGAGGAGAACTGGCTCACAAACAGCATCTTATCCCCAAAACTAAGGTATTTTTGCCAAGTTAAATGTCATGGTGACCTGGAGAGAATGGTGATTGAATGTGCAGTTTCTAGATAATAAGCCAGAGATTAACCTATGTGAAGGTGGATAGAAGCCACTAAAGATGCATTGGCTTTGTAAACACATAGGGTTGGAGAATTGGCTAGAGAAGAAAGACTTTCAGACATGCCATGATGAGTGTGATGTTCTTTAAAGAACCTGGTGATTGATATGATGATTCTACACTGTATTTCTTCACTTAGTATATCGGAGCTGTTGAGGTTTTAAGCTCAAATGAATTAATTAATTCCTAGGAAAGAACAAGCTAGAGTAATACTTGCCCACGGTTGAAAGAGAGAGGTCTAGAATCATAGACACTAGTTATAAAACGTGAACATGATGAAGTGTCAACTCACCTGAGCTATTTTAACAATCGTCTTTGCACTAGTGCACCATGAAGCTGTAACAGTCATGTTCAGTAGAAGCTGAGGACACAAACAGGTCACAGTATCAACGAATCAGCATCAAGTGTTTAAAAAAAATATTCATTACAGCTGAGGACACAAACAGGTCACAGTATCAACGAATCAGCATCAAGTGTTTAAAAAAAAATATTCATTACAGCTGAGGACACAAACAGGTCACAGTATCAACAAATCAGCATCAAGTGCTTAAAATGAAGATACAATTATTTACTATCCATTCCACCTCTCTCTGTCACTTTCTGTCCAGTATCTCTTTCCTGCAATGACACGTTCAATCATATTTTCTCCTGTTCAAATATATTATGAATATTTTTATAATAGACCACCTATTACAGATAAGTGATTCTGTGTATTGTTTTGTTTGTAACTGTATCATTCTTTGCTTGTGGCGTATGCTGATGAAGGTTTTCTAACCACAAAATTCATTTTGTCGGTTAGGACTGCGACACTGTGAAAGTGACCAGTTCTATTTCTTATCCAAGTTGATATTTCTGCAATATAACTAGTGCACCCTTACAAATATGAAAGAGAAACAACACCATACCTTCATGACTTCAATCTGCAGATCTTCTGACAAGGAATGTGCCACAGACAACACAGACAACACCTGAGACGGCAACCACTTGTCTTCATCACTTGTTTCCATGGAGCTTCGAAATCTGTCATCTTTAAACATCACCTGAAACCGCAAGAAACTTCCCGCTTGAATTTCCATCTAGATGTAAAAATTCTCGTAAACAGTTTTGTACTTGCCCGCTGGCCTAAAATTTGTCTTCTTTATCCTCTTCCTATTTTACCCCCCATTTCATACTTAACTCTTTGAGTCGCAGGGGGTTAAGCATCACAGGCCCAAGGGGTGGTAAAGAGAGACTAAAATCAATGCATCAAGCGTTAACTGGGCATCTAGGTAGAAACCTATGAATGTATGATGAGTTCCGTTGGCACATCATGCTATGGTTTACATCTAGGCTGCGATATCTGCACCTTTTTGGCCGAACACATCTGATTTCGGGAAATTCCTAATTAGTGGCAATTGATGACACGCTTGTTAGGGAATAGTGGGTCCCCCACCCTCCCTCAAGGGAAAGTGAAACCAACACAGTGAAAGCCTTGAGTTCAAATCTGCATCTTAATTGGTTTCTTAAAATTGACAATGGCCCTCCAAGCTGACGCAGCTTAAAATTGGAAACATGAAAATGTCCAGGAAAATAAAGGTGGCTGACATGATGTTGACCACATCACCCATCAAGTACAAACTGGTCAATAAAATATGGGTCAGGCCCTCCTGGCATGAAAAGGGTCTTTTACTATGTTTTTAAGTTATAGTTATTCGTGGTGAAGCAGTTAAGCCATTCACCTTAGGCTCTAAATGAGTTCAGCTTTAAACTCCAGTTGGTACACAAGAGAATGTGTCTTGAAGAAACCTGGGGGTAATTGTGGGAGTTGTGATTTGTGCTTCGTGCTCTGCAGAGAGATACTGCGCCACATAAGAAAAAGTTCAGTGTATTGTAAATCTTCTTCTGGTTAGTATTCATTTCCTGTAGTCACACATGCCAAAACAGACATGTTGAATTTTCTTGGACAAACCTTAGTTAAGACATTTTGTGTATTCTTGTTTGTAACAGTAAAACTGTCTGTTCCTGTCATGTGCTGATGAAGGCTTTCTAGCCTCAACATTCACATGTCATTTGTGAATGTTAAAATGTGAAGCTAAAACAGTTCTACTTTTCGTTTGGTTTGAAATCTTTACAGTGCAGTATAGCTGATCCTACTGTAAAAGTAAAACACTGTTGTAACTATTAGTGCACACCATTACCGTAATACATTAGTAAGAGTGATACCGTCCTCACCAACACAGGAGTGCAGGTTCCACCATTACACCGTTTAGCCATCACAGGCGCCCTAATTATAACTGTTTTAGAGGTTCAACAGATTATCTGGGATTTGCCATATTGGTCAGCACCCTGGAGGAAACTACTGAAGTCTCAGGGGTGATCAACCCTTCAAGTAGCAGCCCGGAGGGGGAAAAAACAGACAGAGAGACATAAAACATCACTGAAAACCCGTTACTGTAAACCAGAGCTATTTAACTAAGTTTGCTAAGAGGCCAACATTTTTTTAATGGGGATTATCAAGGACCAGAGACCTGAGCCCTAGTGTAAAAAGACCATTAATACAACTGGCAATGATTCGTGGGCCACTTCTTACGCCCCACAGACCAAATTTGGCCTGCGGGCCGAATCAGCCGGACAGTTTAATAGCCCTGCTGTAAACCATCCATGTAACCAAGCACTCACCTGAATGCCCACCAAAGCTGTGTGTCCTAGTTTTCTGGCCCTGGACTCCAAAGCTAACAGTAACGGCTGCAGGCATATCTCCCTCAACTCCCAGGCTTCAATCTTTTTCAGCTTATCCTCATCTTTCAGAATATCTGCAGTAGTGGATTACTTACATCAGTTACTGAGCCAATGGTTTTTGTAATTTTTAAAGTAAAAAGTCCTTCTTCTTTTTAGTGTTCACCAGTTGTCAACTCCGGCGGCAAATTCTGGTTGTTAGTCAACTTCAAGACTTTAGTCTTGTTACATGACTTGAATTTTGTGGGCAGATTCATTTGTACAGATCTTGGCGGTGGGTCAAGCCGTTTGCCTAGCACATATAAGGTCAAAAATTTTTTGTGTGTGGCTGCCCTGTTCAGTTTTATGAGTGCAATTTTTACAAAGAACTCTGGGAAACGTCGCCGGAGCTATGGAGTTTGTGCTCTGTGCTGCAATCTTGGCAGGTAGCTAGCTGTTCTGCGGAGAGAGACCGAGCCATATGGAACAAAACCCAGTGCAATGAAATTAATCCTCTCAACTTTAACCTTTTTACACAGATCTGATTTATTTGTACGCAGACTGTTGGTTCCTAGCCTCTCAGGCAGATGAACTCAAACTTCCAAGGAAATGTCTGTCCTATCTATGTTAGCCAGGCTTCCACCTTTTTCTAGGATGAAATTAGAGAGGTGTAGAGAGGTCGCGACCAGTATAAGTCGTGAAGTGGTGCACCACCTCATGTGGTTCGGTACCTCAGTATCCTGTAACAAGCACATAAACATAAAGTAATGAATAAGTTACTTTCAATATCACCATGTAGTAAGTCCTATGTGGAGGTTTGTTCTGACCGTATGACATGCAATCCCCTGCCAACTTTCCTGACCTATGAACTTTCATGTTTTTTGCATAGATGCTAAACAACTTTGAAGAACTAATGCATACCATCATGTTAATATCCGTCATCTCTACTAAAACTAATGAGCGCAAAATCATAACAACAGAGCTGAGATGTCTTAGAAGTGCTGCCGGAGTAACAGCAAGAGATATTAAATAGCAAAAGATGAGATGCTCTGACAAGAATGCCCTGGACCAACTGCCACAGAGTCATGATGAAGAAATATAAGGGAGAAGAAGCAAGGAGGTGATCACACAGAAATGGAATGACGGCATGAAGAACAGCTTTAAGGACATAAATATCAGCTCACACAAACCACTGGAAAACATACAGAAGATCCTTACATCCCCTATACCCCCCTCCCCAAACACTCTGAAGAAGTAACTGAAGGAAGTAAAGAAGATCTCTACTAAGTTGCAGCTCCTAGATTTTCCCCATTTTCAAGGCTCATTACAAGCCTTGGTATCTCTTATGAAACCTTCTGTACATAAACAGTATTGTTTCTTCACACAGTAGTATTAAGTTGTGTTGAAGGCATGGGCATCACAGTCCATGGTGAGGGGCAGTTAAGGCCAGTGATGAAGCCTCTCCTCTCAACAGCACAAAGCCCGGACAGTTTTGCAGAGACCAGTTTTGCACATGTAGCATGATCCCTCACTCAGTTTGTATACATCTGGAACAAATCATGTGGCAAAAGATGCCAGATCACCAGAGCAGTTCTTTCTCTGTCCACCTGTAAGAGCATCCCTTTTAGACCAGCTGCAAACTAAGGCCTTGTATGCCCTACCATAATATGTTTTCAGGTTATATTTCTTCATCCTAGGATATTGTAAAGACCATGAGGTGCCTATGCAGCATGTCTCCCCTCTCAGTCTCCCTTGTCAACTCCAAAGGAAGGTTACAGCAACATGTTAGGGAAAAAAGCATGCTGCCGGATTTGAAGAGCAGTGCTCTCTCTCCCCCACCTGTCAGACTGAACGAGTTAACGAAAAAAGCCCACTGACAATGGGACTTGAAAAACATATGTCCACTTACCTAGGGCCGTGTTGGCCGTATGTTTAATGCTTGCAAACTTTGGTGTGATTATGTCCCTGGCCAGCTGACCCAGGATGTCTTCCATGCTGGCATTAGTGTTTGCAGACATTTTCTTGACACTGTCACAAACATAATATGTAATTATGTACACATTAAATTAGTGTTATTTTTTTAACATTTAGCCTGAAAATTTTGAGTTAGAATCTGCATCAAGTTGAATTATTATCAAAACTGAACGTGGCTCACAGTTTGACCCAGTCTAAAATGGTACCAGGTGATGCCCTGAGAGGTACAGGTGGCCAGCATGATGCTGATATCACTTACCAAGTGTCACCTGGTCTATACAAAAATACATCTAACATCATAGGCTTGATACACAATCAGCAAGAACAGAATCTAACATCATAGGCTTTATACACCACCAGCATGAACAGAATCTAACATCATAGGCTTGATACACCACCACAATGAACAGAATCTAACATTATAAGATTGATACACCACCAGCAAGACGAAATATAACATTATAGGATTGATACACCACCAGCATGAACATAATCTAACATCATAGGCTTGATACACCACACAATGAACAGAATCTAAAATAAAAGGATTGATACACCACCAGCAAGAACAGAATCTAACATTATAGGCTTGATACACCACCAGTATGAACAGATTCTAATATCATAGGCTTGATACACTACCACCACATGGTACAAAGCCTATATTGCAGATTCTTCTTTCTTGACCAGTGCCAAAGTACTGATGCTATATTGCAGAAGCCTCATTCCTGACACTTTAAAGTACATTCTCTGTTGGTACTATATTGTAGAAGCTTCTTTACTGACCGAAAATCAAATTACTTTCACTGTTGGTACTATACTGCAAAAGCTCCTTTCCTGAAACTCCACTAGCTGCCAGCTGGTACTGTATTACAGTACTTTAGTGGCCCAGTACCATAGTACTTTCTCTGTTGGTACTATACTGCAAAAGCTTTTTTCCTGAAACTGCCATAGTATTTTAGAGGGAAAAGGGGTGAGGGGGGAGGCAGCAAGCGCGCACGTCGCCCCCCCCCCCTCACCCAATTAATTTTGTAAGTGGACTAAGAACCCCATTTAACCGTTTATGTTAATTATCTTTAAAAGTATTTGTTTACACATTTCATATTATCTCAAGCACAGTTGTATTTATTTGCCAATCAGGGTAATAGTAATAATAATAATAATAACAAAATAAGAATTAATAATAATAATAAAAAACAACAATCATGTGCTGATGACAAATAACATAATAGGCTCTCCTCCAAATAAATACCCTAACAGGGCCTTAGTCGTGTGTAAAATGCGGACTTCCTACAACAAACACATCGCGGGCAAAACTAGGATTACTGTCCATTGACAATTTTGGGAAACAGAACAATACGATAATAGCGACATAAGGGGAAAACCATGCACTCTGACGCAGATTAGCAATAGCGTTCTTCCAATTAAACTCACTGCCATGCGTATCCCTCACACCGCAACGCACAGCGCAGATGTGGGGCTAAACTAGATGGCTAGGACTCACGAGCAGCAGCTACTGCATTTCCTGCAACTTCCTCCAAATTAATTTGCTCGTGAGTCCCAGCCATCTAGTTTGCCCGCCTATTTGAGCGTAGCGGCACGGGGGATACTGTCGGCAGTGCGGTATTGTCACCAGAAAGAGATCCGCAATTAACATATCGCTGAGACCCTATTAAGAGTATTTGTTTATCCTCAATGATATTGGCCTGTTATTCGGAGGCAATCCTAGTTTTGCCGTGATGTGTTCGTCAGAGGAAGTCTGCATTTTACACATGACTGAGGCCCTCTTAGGGTATTTGTTTGGCGGCCATAATATGGGGACAAAGCTCGGAGGAGAGCCTCATAATAATATATTTGGAACACAGGTGCATAGGTGCCAGAAATTAGAGCTCTAGTACACTGACCCTACTCCCCCCATCACCTCCCCCTCATTTGTTTTTATGGACCAGCACCCTCTACTCACCATAAATAATTCTCTTTTCAAGCATTTGTTTATACATTCCATATATTAATATTTTTGTATAATTGTGCATTCCACGCATAATAGTAATAATATTTTTTTATAATAATTTTTATTATGACTGTGCAGTTAAACAAATTTCAAACCCTTTAAAACTCCCCCCCCCCACCGCAATAACTGTCTAGGAGCTTAGGGGCTCAAAGAGTGTAATCCTTGTTTAAAGTGTGCAATTTAGTATTACTGTGCAATTAAACAATGCTTAAAAACCTTCCAGGTTCTTAAAAATTACTGGTGGAATGGCTGTAGTTGAACCCCACCCTTCCCCATTTCACCAAGAACAAAGTTTCTTTTTCTGTGGCGGCGCCCCTAATTATAATGAATATTCATTAATTTTTATTTATGATTATTTTGTGTAGTCTGCTGTGTTGTCCGGCGACATGACGACCACTGTGCTAAAGATCCCGACTCAATCCGTACAATATACTGTAATGGTAAACTGTATTTATTATTTCTAATTGCTAATCATGTAATAGTAATAATTAAATTTATTAAACTGATTTTTTTTATTTATCATTATAGAATCAAAATTTTTAATTAAATTAATATTTTTATTATTTAAATAAAAACCACTTCACTAAAAATAAAATAAAAACAATTTAATTTCTTAAGAAACATAAATTGACCGAGCACAAAATAAGTATATATATTACAGTTAATTACTGTGAAGACACAACTTTAACTCTCATGACTATCACATGATTCCAGACACAGTCGTCCAACAAATATGTTAATTAATGTTCTCTGTAGTCAATAACTGCCGCCATCTTGCAACGCACACAGCTGGTTTGGATTGTCAAGACAAATTACCGAAACAAACGAATATTACCAAAAGATGAGACCAGGACATCTTCAGGTTTACAACAACAACAACAAACAATAAGGCAGTATACTAGGAACATCATGAGAAATGTAAGACAGGCGAAGAAAAAAGCGATATGTCTGGAAGATCGCTTGTACAACAAAGAAGATGACAATATACTGGGTAAATCTTGAGGAGATACCGACAGAGAATCACCAGACATTGAAATATGGGGGAAGAGAGACTGAGGAAAGGAGGACGAAAAAGAGCAACCATAAAAGTTTAGAATGAACGTTGCTAAGAGACCAGAGGCGATACCATCCATGATACCGAAAGGATTGCGATGGATAGAACTGTATCTTCTTCTTCTTCTTTGCGTTCGATTTCTTATGCTCAGATCAGACCATCAGGTGGGTTGCCCCTATGAACTCGCAAGTCAGCTGCAGGTCCTGCATGGTTCCCCATAGCTTGCTCTGCACACTCTGCTCTTGGGGCCAGGTGTCTTTTCGAAGTTGCAGGTAGAGTGTTCAGGTCTGCAGAATGTGCTGAGGTGTTTCGGGGGGACTGTACAATCTTTATTTTATGCATGTGGCAGTTGAGCCTGCAGTGTCCTTCCTGTTCGTAGACTGAAAATTGTTGTAGGCTGCTTTCTGTTGAGTTTGCTGATGGGGTCTTGTGGATGTTCACTGTTAGTTTGTTCTCTCAACAATCCCTTGTATTTTCCTTTGATAAGTGTTCTGATTTCTGGTAATGACAATGACTGGGTGTGTTGATTCCCCTTTGTTCCATTTTTTTTTAAAGTCTGTCTGCTAACTAATTTCCTGGTATGCCGCAGTGAGCCGGGATCAACTGGAGAACAATTTGATTGTTTTCTGTGAGTCTGTTTAGCTGACGGGTCAGTTCTCTTTCCATGTCTCGTGGATCCATATGAGTCGCCTGGAGGACTGACATGCAGTCACAAAGGAAAACAGTTTTTAATATTTCTTTCCTCGAGCCCTTTGTCTGAATCAATAATTGCTTGAGAACTGTGTAGAAGACTAGACTAGCCTAGGAGTAAAACATGGTGAAGCACGTCTATGCCGTCTTCGAGGCAGGAATAGAAGATAACATACCCAGCTTCTCGTGGGAACAATAAGTAGAGAAGTAATTTGGAGTGGCTGCTGCATCGAAGGACTGAGCATGCATGAGATTCCCAATGTGCAGTGACGTCGATTGTCATAACATAACATAACATAACATAAAGGACAGCCTAGACTGTGAGCTTTTTTTTAAAGTAATAAAAAGTACAACATTTTTTCAGTTTTAATTAATAAGAAAAACACATTAAAACGTCTTTAAACTCATACAAGTACATGTACAACGGCACAACAAGATAATAATAATAATGATGATGATGGCGATGACCTGAGGTATCAAAAAAGAACCCTTTTCTCACCATTCGCATATCGGACATATAGTGCTAGACCAGGGCCAGACTCTTTGATGCCCTAAACCCTGAAACGATTTTGGTTTCCTCGCTCCACCCCTTCATGCCTTCAACACTTAGAATAGAAGATTTTGGTGAGCCAAGTGTTTGCAGGTATGTCTGGATATTATCTCTCCATTGTCTTCTTGGTCTGCCTCGTGGTCTATGACAATTCATCTGCCCGGTGAATACATTTTTCACCTTTCTGTCATCTGACATTTTTTCAATATTCCCCAACCATTTCAGTCTATTAGCTCTCAAGATGCCAATGATCAATGGTGATTTCAACAGATTATGAATTTAGTTGTTGCTTCTCACTCTCCATTCACCGCTGTTGCATCTTTGATGGGTCCAAAGATTCGTCGTAAGACTCTGTGTTTTCGAAAACCTGTAATAAGGCTTCATCTCTTTTAGTTGTGCTCCAAGTTTCAGAGCCATAATAACACCACTGGTCTAATCAACGTTTTATATATACTGATCTTGGCTTTAGCAGATGTTTAAGGACATAGCATACTTTATTTCCAGATTGTATTCTATATTGTATTTCTTCTCTCAAAATGTTGGAGCAGTTAAAGTTTGCACCCAAGTACTTATTTTTGTTTTTGTTCGTTTGATTTTCATATTATCGACTTGTAAGTGGCCAGAGTTTATATCCTTTCCCCGTCTTGTAATTATGATGTATGCTATCAAATCTTGATTAATAACTGGTCCCATTTTGTGAACTGATTATTTTAAA